CCCCCACCCCCCGCCCCGCCCTGCCGCCACCCCCCCCCCCCCCCCCCCCCCCGCATTTCTGGCCTGTACTCCAACTCTTGTATGCATAAATAAATAAATCTTAAAAAAAAGTTCATAGCAGGCAAAGTTAAAATTGAGAATTCATATGAAATAAATATATTTTCAGATATGCAAAAATTGTAAGTTTATAATTCTATGTGAAAAAATTTCATCAGGAAGCACCCCAGCAAAGTAGAGATTAACATGCTGCATAAGAGGCAGGTGAATGTGACCCACAAGTGAACACAATAAAGAAAAAACAAAACTTACTTGAAATTGATGCTTGAAAGATTTTTTCATAAACTTTACAATTAAAATGCTATTTATTGGTTTCCAGTTTTTAGAGTGGAAGACTTAATTATGTTAATAGACCAGAAGGTATTATAAACCTTGACAACATGAAATAATGAAAAGGGGAGGGATAGTCAAGGAAAGTGAACTGATTTCCTCATTCTTCACAGAGGATAATCAATAGATGTTGCTAAAGGTGATAAATTAAGAAATTGATGTTTAAATATATTGTTAAAGGGATAGAGGAGCTCCAAAAGAATTAACGGTAATAACTTATCTAACAAAACCAGAGAGAGGAGGTGGGAGGCTGCATGAATGGACTAAGTCCCACACATTTCACACTGGGAAGTCAACAGATGTTAGCTACTCAGAACTAAATCTCCCGGGACTGAGTCTGGATTTGGGGACAAGAAGGAGGAAAGCTTACCTTTGATTCTGTATCCTCAAGACTGAATTATTTTAATCTGCTTTATCTTTAATACAAAATTTATATGGATAACCATTTAAATATTATGGTGCATCTATAACACTAGTATTATAATTAAAAAAAAAGTGAGGTATTGAGATGGAAAGACATCCATTTAAAATGAAAAGAGCAGGGGCCTCCCCAGTGGTGCAGAGGGTTGAGCACTGTGCTGTGAAGCTGTCTGCAGCCTCTGCAGCGCGGGCTCGATTCCCGGCCAACCAGGGAGAAACTCACATAGTGAGACAGACCTCTCCTGCCTCGCCCACTGCTCCCCTCAGCAGTGTCTTCGGTCCATCTGCCTGTTCTGCTCCCCGCTCTGTCTCCGGTGAATTCTCTCACCCTCCAGTGCTTCTGACCTGTGCCCCAGTTCTTGTAAAAATAAATAAATAAATCGTTAAAAAAATAATAAAATGCAAAGAGCAAGCAGCTTTTCCTGCCTGCTTGTGTCTATGCAAGTGTACTTCACTTTTCTGTCCCTTTTCCTAATAAACCTGCCCTTTAAATATAAAAAATAAAATAAAATAAAACAAAATGAAGAGCAATTTGCAGACAGATGTGAATGATTCTAATTGTATAAAAAAATAAAGTCTATATACATTTTTGTATATTCATAGAAAATGCTTCAACTGTGACTCCCTCCAGGGAGTTGAGGGGCGGGGAGAGATTGAGGACTTTCCCATTTTATACTTCTATTTGGAAGGTTTTTGTTCTTTCTTAAGTAAGGAATTATTAATTGCAGAATTTCAAAAGTTTGTCTTTTTAAAATTTAAAGCAATATTCTTTACGAAGAATTGGAAAATTACCAAAAAAAATAAAAATCACCCAACTTCACAAATCTTTTTTAAGTTTATTTCTCAGAAAATTCGTTTCTGGCTAAAGGTAGTGTAGAAAGAGCCACAGAGGAGGACCTGGCAGTCATACTGTATCCACCAAATTCCAGTTTGGAGCCTTGAGAAGTTACCTGACTCTTGATTACAGCCTTCCCCATCTCAATGAACAGGCAAGGTCATCCTTCCAGTTGCCCAGGTCAAAACCATGTGGTCAACCATGACACTTCTCTCATTCAGTCCATAAGCAAGTCCTTTTAGCTTCACCCTCAAGATATAACCAGTATCTGGCCACTTTTCCCCACACCTGGATTTATGCCAGAGCCCCCCCCCCAATGACCTAGGAGCTGCCCCTTATTTCTGTGTGACCTCATTCCACACTACTCTTGCCCCTTGCTTAGTGTCACACACCAGCTGGAAAGCATCGGGCAAATTCCTGCCCTTATTCCAGCTGTTCTTGTTGCCTGGATGCGCATCCATTTCAGAGGTTCAAGTACAACCTCACCAGCTTCAGGACTCAACCCCCATCTTTTCAGCTACACTTCTGGTCACCTTATCAAGCTTTGCCCAGTGCCTGGCCCCTCCTATTCTAATTCCCCCTTGCCCTCAGGCATGAATCACTTCCTAACCAACTATATATACATTTACATTTGCATATGTATCATGTTTCATCCTATTAGCGTGTAAATACACAAGGATCTAAGCCTTCATTCTATTCATTGATGACTAGTACAGCCAATGCTCATTCAGAATTTGCTGAATAAGGGGACTCCCTGGTGGCGCAGGGGTTAAAGACAGCACTATCAAGCTATTGCCAACCACTGCAGCAGGAGCTCAATTTCCAGGCTGGCCAGGGACATGACCCACATGGCATAGCAGACCTCTCCTGTCTCGCCCACTGCTCCCTTCAGCAGTGTATTTCAGTTGATCTGCCTGCTCTGCTCCCCACTCTGTCTCTGGTGAATCTTCTCACTCCCTCCCCACACCTCTGGCCTACACCCCAACCCTTGTATGCTTGCATAAATACATTTGAAAAAAATTGCTGAATAAATGAATGAGACCTATTTTCTCACCTACAAATGGGCATAATAGGATAGAGCTGATACTATTGTGAGGTTTATATGCAAAAAGTGTATTTCAATTACTTGCATAGCAGGGTCACCTAACCTCATTAGGATGATTAAGGATGGCTAAGGAAGGAAATATTTCTGCGGAGACCCACTGAGCAGGATTAGCCAGTGAAAGGGTGGCTGGGTGGGAGAATATCCCAGAATGGCTGTGGGAAGGTCTGGAGCTAAGAAAATGGTAAGACAGACACAAAACCTAGTGAACTTCACCATGGCTGGGGAGAGGGGAGTGGAGGAAGGCTGAGGCTGCAGCGCCTTAGGAAGCCATGGAGCCGGGGTGGCTATGAGGCTGGTGCCAAGTCTACCCACAGGAAGTCACTCTGGCTGCTGAGTGGGTCAGTTGGGCAGGGCTGAGGACAAGCATACCAGACAGGGGATGTGACAGCAGGAGGGTGGTTTGGGACAGAGGTGAAGAGAACCAAGAAGGTATGAGAGAGGAAGTCAAATGGGCAGAGCTTGGTGGCTGAATGGGTGAGGAAGTGATGCCCGGTTGAAAACCAGGTGAATGAGGTGTCATGCACTGTGACGGGGCCCTGGGAGGAGTGGGTTTGCAGGGAGGGGAGGGAAGGGGGGCTGGTATTAGCTGATGGAAAGGGCAGGGACTCAGCAGATTAAGTAGGTATGGGTCCTAGGTCTGGCACTTACCTGTCCTGTGGTCTCTGACAAAGGAACCCCTAAGCCTCGGCCTCCTGATCTTGGCGGAGGGAAGGGGATGCTCAGCTGGGTTCTCCTGAGTAGTGATTATGTCCTTGTCCACAAAGCACCTGCCTGGTGTGGTTCTCATGCTCTCACTCAAGTGACAATCTAATATTTATCCCTTGCTTGAAAATGTTTAACTTTTTGTTAGCAAACAACTACTCAAATTTAATACTCTCAAGGATGCACTGATGGCATCATTTTTCTAAAAAAATAAATACTGTCAGGGCCTCCCCGGTGGCGCAGCGGTTGAGCGCTGGGTTGCGAAGCTGCCCGTGGCCTCTGCGGCGCAGGTTCGATCCCCGGCTGCTCCCCGGCCACCGGAGGAGGGACCCACATGGCGCGCAGACCTCTCCTGCCACCCGCTGCTCCCCTCAGCGGTGTGCTTCGGTCCTTCTGCATGCTCTGCTCTCCGCTCTGGCTCTGTTGAGTTCGCTCACCCTCCCGCGCTTCTGACTGTACCCAGTGCATGTATAAACAAAAAACAAAGAAAGAAAGAAAGAAAGAAAGAAAACATGCCTCTATAAAATAAATAAATAAATAAATAAATAAATAAATAAATAAATAAATAAATACTGTCAGACACTGAACTAGATGCTGGGGAAACCATCAAGAGCCCGAGCCCAGGCTCACAGCCCCTGAGGTGCCAGCCTTGAAGTTCAGGGACAGCTGCACATGGTAAGAGGTCCTTCACGTGCCAGGGACACCTGCATTTGATTTACAACCTACTCCAATCCCTTAGCTGCTTTGTCTGCCTCCTAGCCCAGTATCTCACTGCTTAGCCAAGCTGCGATCCTTGTAGTTTGCCATTATTTGTTGGTCTGTTGCATGCCTTCAAGCTTTTGGACAGTTGCTTTTCCCCCGCTTTGGCCACGACTCACCCTAGGAAATAGAATTAAGCTTCTGTACCCCCATCCAAGTCATCTCCTGCCTTGGAGTCAGGAGCTGCCCCAATGTGCCCACCACACCCGTGCTGGGTTCAGCACTACCTGTTGCCAGTCTGACCACTGCTGACTTAGTGCTTTTCTCTCGACCTGACCTGGGCACATTCATCTGTATCTTCATGGCTTGACCACCCTCTGACACCAGTGGGGGGGCCGTAGGGTTCAAAGAGCAATGCTGCTATGTCCAGGTGCCAAGTGTCCACCTTTGTTTCAGGTGTCCAGTACCCACACTGCAAGAACTACGAGTCCTTGCTGCCCAAACCCCATGCTGTCACAGTGCCATCCCTCACCTGACAGCAGGGGAGGGTGGAGAGGAGGTGATGGGGCGGGTAGCCTGGAGCTAGGAGTCTCATAAAAGTGAGACTCAGCACATCCTGCGGGTGAGGCGAGGCACAGGCAGGTTCCAGCCCATGAAGCCGGGGTCCACGTGGGGTGCGCTTCATGCACACTGGTGGTTGTCTTCAGTGTTTCTCTGCATGTGGGCAGCATGCTGGGAGCCCATCTTGTCAGAAACACTCAGGAGCAGGAAATCTCCAGAACCTACCCCTGGGTACTGACTGAATGGAGCCCAGACTCTCTAGTTGCAGAAAGAGCTGAGACAGAGGCCTGGTTTGTAAGAAATCTGATTATTCAAATTTATTACCATCAAGAATTATGCAATGATGCTGTAGTTTTCTTAACAAATAGAAAACAGACTGTGTACAACAGTGAACTCTACAGCACTAGCATCCACAAGGTAAAAATGAATGTTTCATCCAACATTACCAACCCTGGATTGTTGATCTTGACTGAGCCTAGCTAGTTCTGGGGACGTCTGCATCACGTCCCTTGGCTAAAACAGCTATGCACCCTTCCCCGCCCCCACTTACCTACCTAGATAGTGCTGCCCAGAGGAAGAGGCCCTCTCCCTGCCCCTCAGCAAGCCGAGATAATAAGGATTGATTATAGTACCATTGAGAGAAATCCAGTAGTCTTGCCACATTGGTTTATGAGGGCATCTTGAAGGAGTGGAAAAGAGCGATTCTTAGGGGCTTTGAAACAGCTGCAAACCAGGGAGGGAAATCACCTGTCCTTTCTTCTGAGGACAGACATGTGCTTCCAGGCCCACTGGCCTGGACCTGAAGGGCCAGCCTTGCCCCTGCTTGGTCCTGAGGTGTGCAGGGCATGGCGCCCCGACCTGTGCCAATCACCTTGGCCACACGATCAGACCCACAACCTACCAACGCCACGCCATACTGCAATGCTGGGGACGAGAGGTCAGCTGGCATCTCCCTTGGGAACCCCAGGCACTTGGAGCCGCGGCCCCTCTTGGGGCCCGGGGCAGAGGCTGGGGGACGACTTTTTTTTCTTTTTCTTTTTGTGGATTTTTTTGTTTGTTTTTTGTCTTTGCTTTTTTTAACCTTTGCAAACACTATGGTGATGAGGAACGCCTTGCCAGGCTCCCCCAGACACGCCTGTGGTTCTGGGCTGTGAATGTTAAACACACACTGGAATAGACAACTGGGGATGAGTGTTTCCTATCTCCTCCCCGCCCACCACTGTCTGTGGGGCCTAAAAAAAGGCTCGTAAGGAAAAACAAAACAAACTTTAAAAAAAAATTGTGTTTCCCTGCATTTGGCTGAAATAGGATCTTGTCTGAACAGCCGATCAGTGAGGCCTCCGCTTGGGCTGGTGACCCCAGTTCCACACATGCGAGGAGGCATGTTCTGTGTCCTTCAGCAGTTAAAGTCGTACAAAAAAGGATCCAAAGTCAACTCAAAAAGAGAAAACAAACTAAACCCCTGGCCCCAGAGGCCCACTCTGCAGTGACAGATTTGCAAAAGGAAAGATCAGAGGGAAGAGGCGAGAACCCTCAGTCTACCCCACCTACTGTATAAAAAAGGAGGCTTTGCCCCATTCCCACCCCATGAGAAGAAGCATGAGAAACGCGGCAGCGGGACAGAGAGCCGAAGCGGGCTGGGGCGGCCTGTGGATAGAAACAGGCCACGGTGCCTGCCTGCCGGCCCACCCGCTTGCCCAGGGACCTTCTGGGCTCTCCATGTGGTGTGGCGATGTTCCTGAAACACTGTGATCCCAGTGGGCTGTGCTCTGCCAGCAACAGCGTCCGTGCAGGAGGGCTGGACGATGGTCGGTATGGCTCAGAGGAGCTGGGTCCCCTCCGGAGCCCCCAGGTGGGGGCACCGGAGGAGAGGGGAGCGGTAGTTACGTTGCATAGTGGTCAAAGCTGCCGAGGTACTCCAGGGCCGCACGGTAGCACAGCTGGTACTGGTCCTGTGGGGACAGTGGTGGGTCAGCCTGGGCAGAACAGCGGATCCCCCAACGCTGCCAAGGGCATGCACTGTAGCCGGTAAGCCATGGTATTAGCCTCTGGTGGCCAGGGCAGGTGCTGGGCCCAGGCATCTGTTCCCCGCAATGTCCAGAGAGCCTCAGAGAACCCCTGAAGGCTCACCTCTCCTTTTCCCACTGCCCCAAAGCTACTGATTTTCCTTTTGCCACCCCAGTGAGTACCCTGTAAGGACTGCTGTGTCTAACCCTAGCAGGGAGCCTGGCACACTGTGGGTGTCCAGTGTCCAGCTGCCAACTGAGGAACTGAGCCTCTGCAGCAACTGGGCCTGCATACCTCCGTCTGCACCATGGCGGGGCGCTGTGTGCGCAGGGTCTTCACGGTCTGGAACATGTCCACCACGCCCTCGTAGCGCATCCGCTCCAGGACGATGCTTAAGGTGATGAACACCCCGGTGCGCCCCACGCCAGCACTGCTCAGGGACAGCGTTGAGTCAGGGGCCTGCCCCCCCAGGGTGTGCTGTGCCCCGCCCCCTGCCCTCCTCCCGGGGTCAGTCCCACCTGCAGTGCACTGTGATGGGTCCATCTTGTCCAAACTGCTCCTTGGTCTTGTGCACCTGGCCGATGAAGTCAATGAAGCCCTCTCCAGTCTTGGGGACACCCTGCTCCGGCCAGTCCGTGAACTGGAACTGCCGGATTGTCCGTGACTGCCCATCCTGGGAAAGGCAGGTGGGGGACAGGTTAAGGCTTGTACCTCGGGCTGTGGCCCCAATGGACCAGGCTGAGAGGTACAATGACAAAAGGAAGCACCCACGGAGTCATTACACCCAAGGCCACCCTGGGAAATGTGCTCATGTGCCCACATCTGCGCCTCCATCCCAGATCCCTGCAGCTTGAGACGACACAATGCAGGTAGAGCCCCCCACAGTGTGTTCAGGCAGTGTCAGACACGCCGTCGTGCAATACCCCTGGTCCACACTCACCCGGGCGTCTGTGACCTTGAACTCACGCAGGATATACTGGGGCATGTTGTACTCAGCCATTGGGTCAACAACAAAGTACTGGTAGCGAGCAGAGCGCTCTGCTGGCCAGTACTGGTGGCATTTCTCCTGTGGACAAAGGACCCCACGGTTAGGCGGGGAGGACTGGGGAAGGGGTTCCCCAGGTTTCAGAGGATTCTGGGAAGGATGCCTCAGGTGGTGGTGACAGGGGTCTGAGGCTCTGCTGATGGGAGGCTAGGAGAGAGGAATGAGGGGTGGCTGGAGGGGGCTCACCCGGCCCATCTCCCGAAGCCTGGTCAGCATGACGATGATGGTGGAGTTGTGCTCCCAGAGCATGCGCCAGAAGTCCTCGGTGCTCTCCGACAGAGGCCCCTGTGTGGCTATGTAAGCCTTCTGCTGCCTGGGGTGGACAGAAGATTGGAGATACTGGAGGTGCTGCTGACCTCAGTCTCCCCAAGACTGCCTAGTCCCTTGGGGACCTGGCTCATCACCCCTCCTCCTCCAGGAAGCCCACTCTGGTCTTCTGTGCTCTGTTCCGCCCCCAGCCAGTCAGGCGCTGGCCCAGGCCAGTATAGGTGTGGCGGCAGTCACAATTGCGCTGACCTGTAACCATCCAGGAAGCTGGCATTGATGTAGTCGGAACCCTCCACACCACGGATGGGCTGCAGACACACCCGGGTCAATTCGTAGGGCATGATGTTCACCAGGCGGTTCTTGAACTTGTTGCAGGGCAGGTTGGCGCTGATGAAGCGGGATGTATGGGCCTTGGAGCTGGCCAGCAACTGGTGAGAGGGAGGGTTTGGTCAGGCCTGCTTCCTGGGGGTTCATCCTCATGACCCAGCCCAGGCCCCTGGAGCCAAGCAGGTGCACCCCACCTTGAACTCGAGTTCCATGGCAGTCACACTCTCCCCAGGAGGCACTTGGCCCAGCTTCTGGATGTGGGCGTAGAGGTTGCGGGCGGGCACCTCCGTGTGTCCACAGGTGGCGGCCTCCAGCAGCGCCTCGTGGATGAATACGTACTGGTCCTCTGTCTGCACCATGTAGTTCCTCTGTGATCTCATGCATGTCACGTGGCCATAGATGTCCACTGTCTTCTCATGCTTCATCCGCTCCAGCATGGCGTCAATAACGATGAAGCAGCCTGTGCGGCCCACACCCGCGCTGCAGGACACGGGTTCAGCTTGGGCAGAAGTCCATCCCCTAAAGCCCCCCACCCCTTGTATGGTGCTGCAGCCCCTCACCTGCAGTGCACCACCATGGGCCCTGCATCTAGGGGGTTGCAGGCCTTGACTCGCCGTAGGAAGGCCAAGATGGGGGTTGGGTACTCAGGGACCCCGTGGTCTGGCCAGGCCATGAACTGGAACTGACGCAGCTCCCGTTTCTCACTGGAGCCACTCTGGGGGGAGACGTGGGGAGAGAAGGTATGGCCAGGCACTACATGCAGGGCAGGATGACCTGCCACGGAGGGGAGACCCACCACCCCATGATCAGACTCAGAAGCCACCTGGGGCAGCCCGAGGGAGCTTCCCATTCATTCCACCCACGCCACTGGCTGCCATGGTGTCCTCCCACACCTCCAAGTCCCCGACCTCCCACCCGAGGTCCACTTGCCCACCACAGCACACTACACTCAGGCCACGGTCCTTATAGGGCTGGTCGGGGGCAAGCAATGGGCAGATCCATACCTTGTGGAGTGCGAAGGTGCGCACGGTGTATGTGGCCAGCTCCACTGTGTCCAGCAGGGTGACCTGAATGAGGCCGTAGGTCTCTGTGCCACGGGCTGGCCAGTACTGGTCGCACTTTACCTGCATGAGGGTGTTTGGAGGCTTGTCTAAAGTCTCAGATGGGCAGGGCCTCCAGGGCAAAGATGGGGGGAAGGTCTAGCTTGCCTGGCTGCAAGGCTCCCCTTGTCCCAAACTCTTGGACCCATAATGCCACTGCCCTCACCGCATCAGGTTTTCATGCCACTTCGCCACCTTTGCCCTGGCTGGGAGGACGAGGGCCTTAATTGAAAATTATTTATTCATGACCAGATCGCACCAGGCACATTTTCTGCCAAATTTACCCATTATGTTTATGCACCATTTTCAAGCTCTGTAAATTTTACGTTCCAGTCAATGCTTTGCAGTGCAAAAGCAGATAACAGCAGCTCTTTCCACTAATTAACTTAGGAGATGTGTTAATGCCCCAGGAAGACTCCAGCAGCTGGGGAACATGTGAATATCCCGGGAACATGCCAGCAACCGGGGAACATATTAACATTCCTGGAAAATGACAGCACCTGGTACAATACATTAATAAACCCACTAGTATCTGGGGATCCCGCCACACCCCAGGAAAATAGCATTTGGGAAATCCCCCAAGGAACTTCTCTCACAGGGATAGAACAGGTGCCCTAAGTCACCTGGTGGTCGAGCATTCCCCCACCCACCTCCGCAGGGTCCCCCACAGTCCTACCCGGGACTTTTCCTCCAGCCGCGTCATCATGACCACAGTGGCCGTGCGCTGCTCCCACACCATCCGCCAGAAATCGCCCATGGTCTCAGGCAGTGGGCCCTGCGTGGCAATGTAGGCATTCTGCTTGCGGTAGCCATCGATGTAGTTGGCATTAATGTAATCACTCCCCGGGACACCTGTGGAAGGAGGGGACATGGGGGAGCATAACAGCAAACTGTACTCTTCTGCATCTCTGGGACTCATGGGCTTCCCTGCTGGAAGAAATGTTACCCGAGTCCGAACCAGCGAGAGGGAAGAGAGCAGGAGCGGGAGGGGCCCACCCTGGCTCACCATCAATGGAAGTGAGGATGACTCGAGAGTGGTCGTAGGCGATGACATTGGCATATCGGTTCTTGGGCTTGTTCACCTCCAGGTTGGAATTCTCCCATGTGAACTGTTGTCCAGGGTCAATGGACTGCAGGGAAAGGAGGTGGCAGATGAAGAGGGGTAAGGTCTGTTGCATCCAAGGGGGGCCCCGCCTTCTGGATGGTGCCACATTCTGCCTCTGCACGGAGCCGCAGCCAGGCCTTCCATACCATTGCTTTTACTGGCTGGTACCGGTGAAAGGGGGCACCAGCTTGCCCAGCCATGAAGCTCAGAAGCTCCCTTATCACTTGTCAGGAAGGCCATGGACCAGACTCCTGACCATGGTACCAACCCCCCTTGCCTGGTAGATAGAGCGGCTCAGGATAGGAGGGGCACCCAACTGAAGAAATGAGCTAGTGCAGAGCAAGCTGGAAACTATTGTAGTCAGCTCTGCAGCACCCACTCTGGGAAATCTCTTTGTCCAATTCTCCTCCCACCTCTCTGGCTGTTCCTTGTTTCCTCCTCTTCCACTTGTCCTTCCTGCAGGCAGGACGCAGAGCCCTCCAGGGGTCATTCCAAGGCCTTCTTTATAACTACACCTCCGAGTTTCCCGGAGCTCCTGATGGGAACAGCCACCTCCTGGACATGCCCACCTGGAGGCCCCTCATGTCCCTCCATCTCAACCCTTGTCAAGCTGAGTTCCTCAGCTTCCCCTCCAAACCAGGCTCTGCTGCCATGATGCCATCTCTGAAAGGTATCACCACCTGTTTACCCAAAAGCCCTGGTCAGGACCTACAGACCCATGAAACCCTTCTGTGCCCCAATCCTGTCAGTCACAATGTCTTGGGGCTGCCCCCCGCCGAGGTTCTCTCCAACCTGCCTTCAGGGGCCTCGTCCAGGCCGCCCAAATGCAGACTTGGCATCTCCCTGCTTCTCCGTTTCTGCCCTATTCTATCCTGCAGCCAGAACAATCCTTACAAAACACAGATCCGATGATCAATTTCCTGCCTAAATGCCTCCCATGGTTCCTCACCACCTCAGCTGATAATGCTAATAACTGATTCTTTGTGAGAACTTACTTACTGTGTGCCTGGCACTCTTCTAAGCACTATGTGTATTCCCTCATCTAATCCTCCCATGAAACAGGTTCTATTATTATCCTCCTTGTACAGATGGATACAATCCAGAGTTCTCAGCACAGCACACAGCACCCTCCAGGTTTTGGGGCCAGCTCGCCACTCTGCAGGTCAGGAAGACCACACACAGCTTCCGGGAGACCCAAGCTCACCCACTCCCCAGCCTGCTTCAGTGCTATCAGTCTGCTCTCCTTCTCCATATGTCTGTCATCTTTAATACTAGGGCATACTGTCACATTCACTTGTCTCCCCACTGACTGAGCTCCCTGAGGGCATTTCTCTCTATACCCCCAACACCCAGCAAGGGACCGGCACCTAGTAAGTGCTCAACAAACGTGTGATGACTGACTGACCATAAAGTGGGCAGAGTTGTGGGCTCCTGGCTGAGAGAAAGCCATGTCAGTCCTGGGTGACCAGAGCACCCAGGTTTGGGGCTCCCAAGGAGAACTCAGACTGGAGGATAGAAGTAGGTGAAATGTAAGGGGAAGCTCTCTGAGCTACACAGGAGGCATGGAGCCTCGCTAGAGGGAAAGTAGGTATGGGACCTGGGGCTGGATGGGTATGGGCAGAAGGGCATGGAGGCCTTCTTCCTGGCCAAATAGCTGAAGGCTGGGAGCCCAACTCTCTGCACAGCCATATGCAAAGCAGAGCCCTGTGAGTACTCCATAGGTCGAGGCAGCACGCTTTCTCCACAATGGACAAGCTCATCAATTTGCCTGCCAAGCTCAATTTCCTCTGCAGAAACCTGGTCCACAGCCTTTGGAAGGGAGATTTTGGTACCCCAGGATACTGGGCATCAGACTAGAAGGGGGGCAAACTCATAGGTTATGATAAGCCAGCCCATCAGTCACCTATCCATCTGTCATTAAGGGGTGAATCCTGAGGCCAGGCCTGCACCCTGGGGAAACAACAGGGGTCAAGACATAGCAACATCTCTGTATGTGATCCTTAGAGGAGGCGGGATCTTCTTTATCACCCTCTTGAATAAGATCCCTCTGGAGCTGGGTGGCTTGGAAGCCCTCAGACCCCAGGCCAGGAGAATAGCCCTCTGAAGTCAGAGGCCCCAGAAAACAGGTAGGAGTCAAGGCCAGAGTGAAGTGAGCATGTGGAGGACACCGAGCAAGAAACTTTGTGTAGCCCAGCAGCAAGCTGGTGTCCTGACGCCTAGTCTCTGTGATGTGTGTTGCTCTGAGAAGACATGTGTGCATGTGCAAGGCACAGGCTGTCAAGCAGGCCTGGGTTTGAGTCTTGGCAATACGACTTTTTTTTTTTTTTATAGAGGCATGTTATTTATTTATTTGTTTGTTTGTTTGTTTTTTGTTTATATAAGCACTGGGTACAGTCAGAAGCGCAGGAGGGTGAGAGAATTCACCAGAGCCAGAGCGGGGAGCAGAGCAGGCAGAAGGACCGAAGTACACTGCTGAGGGGAGCAGCGGGCGGCAGGAGAGGTCTGCGCGCCATGTGGGACCCTCCTCTGGTGGCCGGGGAGCAGCCAGGGATCGAACCAGTGCCGCAGAGGCCACGGGCAGCTTTGCAACCCAGCGCTCATCCGCTGCGCCACCAGGGAGGCCCGGCAATACGACTTTTCAGCTGTTTGACCTTGGGCAAGTCACTTCCCACCCTTGAGCCTTAGCATCTTCATCTGTAAGATGGGATAACGATAGTACCCATTTTATACAGCTGTGGGGAGACCGGAAAAAGATAACACATATATATAGCCCCTCGCCTGGTACTGGTCAGCAACAAATGCTCCATAAATGCCAGGATTATAGATCTGTGTGTGCATGTGACCTTCTGTCTGCTTCAGTTCACATCTGGGCCTGAGTCTGAATGTCTAGACCTGGGGTGTGTGGAAGGGGCTCAGTACCTGAGAAGTCAAGTTCTCCCTTCTTTAGCCGGCACTGACTCCTCCATTTGTGTTCTGGGGCAGACTGGAGTACTCCCCATCCTGAGGTAGGGCAAGGCTGGCAGGGGCTCGGTCAGACCAGGCAGGGAGTGGAGGGAGCTTACCTCATATTCCTGGGAGAACTTGAGGCCATCATTGGCTTTGAGGCGCTCGATGTTGTCTGCCAGGTCAGTGATGGGGATGGGTGGGTGGTCTCGCATACCTGGGGGAGGCGGGAGACATAGAGTCAGGTGAGGCCCGGCCAGGGAGGTGGAGACAGCCCCAGCGCATGTATATGCACATGTGGACATGTGTGACCATGGAGCACTTGGCACCAGTGGCATGGAGAAGGCAGCACATGCGGCGACAGAGATGGCGGAGCACACGGTGGCTGGAGGCGGGACGGGACAGGGCGGGAGTGTGCGCCGTGAGCCCGAATAAGCATATCTGGGACACAGCGCTGAGCTGGGAGTGGGTCCTTAAAAGAAGGAGTGGTTTCCTTTACCCAGGCCAGGGCAGGGTGATAAGGATGGGGCTCAGAGCTTCTTTAGCTGGCAGAGTGGGCACGGGCTACGCCTGTACGCAGCCCTATTCCCCTCACTGGCGCCAGTCACCACGGGAGACTCAGTGACAGCATCGTCCCAGCACCGAGTGCGTGGATGGAGTGGTCACAAAGTACAAGGATGTGCAGTGACATGGAAGAACTCAGAGAGAAGCAGAGATGAAGAAGGAGAAGCGGAGACAGAGATGAGAGAGGAAAGGCACCCAGACAGGTGTCAGCCAAAGACTGGAGGTGGAGGACAGCGAGACAGACAGACCAGCAGGAGGGAAAGGACTGGAGAAGCAAGTTGGGGAGAGTGGAGGGTGGAAAAGGAAGACGACAAGGAGAGAGCAAGAAGGGAGAAAAGAGAAAGTAAATGGGGCACAAGAATTCAGGGAAGGAGGGAGGTGATGGATGAAGTGAGAAAAAGTAGAAGGAACAGACACAGAAGCCAAAGGAGCCCCCAAAAATGGGAACTTGGAAAACTAACTTGAGATATTCGGGCAACTGGGGACACTGGAACCTGCAGAGAAAAGAAAACAGAAGTGGGGCAAGAGAAGAAGCCTGTTAGCTTTTTTTTGCTTACGTTGCTATCAGACACAGTGGAGGGTGGCAAAGGGGCTGGCAGGAGCCAGGGGGCGGCGGGGGCCCTGGGCTGTGGGGAGGTCCCGCACAGCTGCCCCTGCCTCCCAGAAATAGACGGAACTTGCACCCCAGAGTCGAGTGTTCCCAACCTTTGGGCCTGGGCAGCCTTGGAGGAATCTTTTTTTATGACTAAGTTCTAGGTCCAAACCAACCTTCATTCCCTCTGGTGTCAAAATTTGACCTTGGATATTTTCAGAGCACTTGGCAAAAGACAAGAATGCTTTTATAGAGACATGATGCATGTATGGCAAGAAACGAAGGGCCCAGCATGCACGAGGCTGTGCAGATGATGACTGTTCTTTCAGCTTTTCCGTGGGTTTGAAAAATTTTCAGAATAAAAATTAAATTATAAGAGGAAAAATGTTTACTGAACTGAAAAATGAAAAAAAGAACCCCGAAGAAACCCTCAGCTGTGGAGAGAGCCACCAGCTCCAAGGCTGCTCCTGTGTCCTTCTCAGGCTTCACTCAACTCTCACAGCACTGCTGTCACCTGGGCCCGCGTGCACACCAGCCTGACCCCAGTTATGGCCTTGACACCACTGAAGACTGCCTATTCTTCATCCTGCCTTTCCCCTCAGATGCCTACTATTTGCAGTAGGTCCTAGCAGCCACAGGGGTTCAGATGCCACTGGGCCCTCACCTTGTTCAGTAGCCCCCCAAGCACACCTGCTCAGTGCACACCACCAGCCAGGCTCTCAGGACCTTGCTCTACAAACCTGCTCCTGTTCTTCCAGAGATAACAGGCCATCAGGCGAGAGCTCCAGCAACTGTTCCCTTCCCACTGACTTGACTGTCTCCCAATCTCTCGGTGACCTGGAACTCACAGTGAGGAGCCCCACACCCTAACCCCCGGGCTTCCAGGCCAATGAAGACCAAGCCGTGCTTCACACGTCCCACACTGGTCCCCCCAGCCCAGGTCCTCAGCACAGCTCACTTACCCCAGGGCCTTCTGAATAGCCCCCCAACCCCCATTTCTCAATCTCCACAAGGTGGTCAGAGCTATTTCTTCTTTTTTTCTTTTCTCTTTTTCTTTTTTATCTTTTTTTAATAGAGGCATGCTTTTATTTACTTATTTGTTTGCTTGTTTTGTTTATACATGCACTGGGCACAGTCAGAAGCACGGGAGGGTGGGACAATCCACCAGAGCCAGAGCGGGGAGCAGAGCAGGCAGAAGGACTGAAGTACACTGCTGAGGGGAGCAGCGGGCGGCAGGGGAGGTCTGCGCGCCAAGCGGGACCCTCCTCCGGTGGCCGGGGAGCAGCCGGGGATCGAACCGGCGCTGCAGAGGCCGCGGGCAGCTTCACAACCCAGTGCTCAACCGCTGCGCCACCGGGGAGGCCCCAGAGCTATTTCTTAAGTCCAATTCTGACCAAACAGTCACGCTGCTGAAAACCTTTAATGATTCCCTGGCCCTTTCATGGTGAGTCCAAGCCCCTGAGCCTGGTACTCGGGGTCCTCTGACTGGACCTCTGCCTAACTCTCCAGTGTCCTCTCAGCATGCCAATACCCCAACTCCAGTGCTGCAGAACACAGCCACTTCTGGAACGCCATTTCCAAGCACGGAAGCATCCTCCCACCCCGATTCATCTGACTAATGCCCGCATGGCTTGGCATTCCTTCTTGGAGGAGGCTGCAATGCCCTCAGACCCCCCGCATCCTGGAGCTGATTCCTCACAGATCTGAAAATGCCAGGTTGTACCAGCCTGTCAGATTTGCCTGGCTCACTGTCTCCCCTAAGATATGTGCCCCTGAACTCAGTCACCATGTATGAGGAAGCATAGCCTCATGTGGTTGTCACAGCTGACAGCCCTAGCTGACTGCAGCATTGGCCATCAGATACATGAATGAATGAGTGTTCAGAATTCAGGGGTCAGCACACTGTTTTTATAAAAGGTCAGATAGCAAATTTTTTAGGTTACATGGACATACAGTATCTGTCACATCAACTCTGTAGCATGCAAATAGCCATACATTATACATAAATGAGGGGGCATGGCTGTGTTCCAATAAAACTTTATTTGCAAAATCAAGTGGTGGGCTGTATTTGGCCATGGGCCATAGTTTGTTCACCCCTAATTTAAATGATTTTAACTCACAGCCTGCTTCAAATCTTCTGGCTGAGGGCTCAGACATTCAGAAATAGAGACAAGCTGTTCCTGCTGTGCTCCTGTCTGAATTTCTAACTCACAAAAACCGTGAGAGATAATACATAATTATTGTTGCTTTAAGTCATTAAGTTTTGGGGTAATTTAATATGCAGTAATAACTAGCTCACAACTCTGTGTGTCTGTGATATCACTCATTCATTCAGCAGTCTGTGATGTTCCATGGGTATTTAGCATGAACCTGCCCTGTGCACAACTCAGAGGTGAGGGGAACAAGATGCAGCTCCTGGAGCTTCAGAGTGCAATCTGTTATGGAGGCAACTCCAGCCCAGGGCGAGAGGCATCATAATGGAAGAAACAGAGATCCTGGGAGATAAGGGGAGACGCCCAGGCCAGTGGGGTGTCTAGAGGGCCTGGGTGCTTCACCCAGGGGAGAGGTCTGTGTTGCATCTGTTCGAGCATGGTAGGTGAGTGACACTTCAAGTAGAAGGAACAGAGAGCCACGAGAGGGGCTGGGAAGGCAGGAGAGGCATCAAGTCCTATGCTGCTGCCTGTGCTCACATGGGGGCATCCCTGAGGAAGGGTGAGATGTAGGGATCCCAGCCCCCACCAACGCCTGCTGAGGCATTCCCAGAAACATGCCCCTCTTTTGTGAGGAGGGGCCAGAGTGTGAGCACAGATGCTGGCCACCCTGTGGCTTGGATGTAGGCTCCGTGAGGGTCCTTAGCCCATATTCAGAGGCCCTGCCCCAGATGTGGAAAGAACTAAGCAGCCGGGCCTTCCCCAAGAGGCCCAGGGGAGACCATCCAGCTGTCCAGGTAGATGTTCCTTACATCAACAGAGTGAATAGAGACACGAAGAAGGGCAAATAGGCAGAACAGGAAATGGGGGCATGAGGCCAGGGCCCCTTGGTGGAGACCCTAGGGTCCCTCTTGGCCTTGGCTGGGGGCAAGCAGGTAGTGCAAGCCGCCCTACCTGGCGTCTGGTAGTTGAGCCTCCGCATCTCTACAGGGTCGGAGGAGTGGGCCAGTAGAGAGTCCTTCAGTCCGATTGACTGCTCATCCTTGGATGATGGGGAGTGGGTCCTTTTCCTAAAGAGGCAGAAGGGAGGTTAGTGAGGACTTGAGAGGTTGGAGCAGCAGACAGAGAAGCCTGGTATGGAGAATTGCCACAGAGCCCTGTCCCCCTAACCCACCTACGGGTCTTTGCACATGAGGGAGCCAGAAGCAGAGCAGCTTCATCATGAGGTAACACAGGACGGGGAGTGGGGAGGCAGCAGGAGTGGGGAGTGGACAGAGGGCAGGTACAGCAAGGGCAGGAGTGGCAGAGGCTGATGGCTCCTTTGGATAGAGGGCAAGTCACTGCTGGGCAATGGCTGCTGTTCCCAGGGGCAGCAGGAGCCACCAAGAATAAACATGCAAATGACACATAGATACGCAAACATTACAGGGAGCTGAGCCCCAGCTGTCTGGCTCTCAGGGTATCAGGGCAAATGTCCAGACAGCAGGGAAGGGACAGGGAAGGCATCATCCTAGCTGGATAGTCCTCCTCCCTTACTGGCTCAGTCCCCCTGTCTGTAAGGACAGGGTCAGCTGTATGGGGTCCAGCTGCTGGTAAGTGTCTGGGGGCTGCATCAGCTTGGAGAACATGTGTTTGGGGAGGAAGCTGTGTGAGTGTGCATGTGTGTAGCAGCACACACTTCACTGCTCTAGAGTCAATGTTTTTTGCACATAAGCAAGATTCCATCTCTTACAGCCCTCAGTAATCTCAGCGGACTGGGAGCCTGGTGGAAGGCTCCGGTGAGCTCGATCTGTGCACACAGGGAGGCAGTGCAAATCTGCACTGTGGCTGAGGTCGAGAGTGTCAGAGCCTGCCCTGGAGCCAGCTGAGCTGACTGGACACCACAGGCCAAGAGCCTCTGGGTCAAAGCACCGCCCCTCCCTGCTGGCCCAAAATGCACGCAGGAATAAGTGAAGGGGGAGGCGTGTGAAGAGAGAAGAAGGACTCCTACCTTTCTTGTTTACTAGGTCCCGAAAGATAGGCAAGGACAGAAGAAAGGATCGGTCACTGTTTCCGCCGAGCACTCAGGCCCTCTTGGGCATGGTGGATACTGTGGGACCCACCAACGATTCAGAGAGGATATGCCTCTCCTGACAGACACCCGGACCCAGGTGGGAGTGGAAGGAGGATGAGCGGTTGTGTGGGGCACCCTCAGTCTCCCCACCCTCAGGTCTCCATACTCTGGGCCAGGTGAGCGGGCCCCCACTCTAGGAGGAAGATGCTCCTGTACCTGGAGGGAAGGAGCTACCTGCAGGCAGGAGGCTCTGGGTCTGGGGCAGGGGCAGGGAAGGGGCACAGGAACCCATTATGAGGAGATGTGTTCAAGCACACGGACCCGCACGTGTTCACTGACAAGTCGGTGGCTTGAGCTGGGTGCTAGGAACGCAGGCCCAGCTGTTTTCCTATGTCTCTGGGGAAGATGGAGGACAGTGTGTGGAAGTGTGGGAGCAGGGAGAGCTTCACGGGTGAGCCTGGAAGAGTCTTAAGGGATGAGATGTCAATTGCCAGGTGGGCAGGAAGAGGGAGAGCTACAGGGCAGAGGGGGCACAGCCCAAGCCAGCTAAGGAACTGCATTAGTTCAGCATGACAACACCAGGGTGGTGGAAGGGGCCAACTACCTGGGCTTCTGATTATCAGGCTAAGGAGTTGGGGCTTGATCTTGAGAGCCATGAAGAATTTCAAATGGAAGACGACAAAGTTAAATTTTTGGAAACACTTTTTAGGCAGAGAGGTGAACAAAGAAGAAGAGAGACTCCAAGAGCCGGTGGCTAAACCGCCTGAGGGAGGGGACTAAGGTCTGCTGTGTGCCAGGTTCCCAGCTACACCTACATGTGTTATCTTGTGGGGAGCCCGCTTGGGACAGGGAGGGGGAGCAGGTCTGGCAATAGGTAGGACAGGACTTGCAGGAGACTGGGTGGAGCAAGAGGGAGGCAGAGGGTGAGGGGACACGTGGGTTTCTGGTTGATAACTGGGTAGATGGGCCGCTGTGATAAGGACTTTGGGGCAGAGGGGTGCAGGAAGGTTCCAGACACACTGAGTCTGGAATAGCTATGGATGCTGTGGTCCTAGCAGCACTCAGTAAGCATCTGCCAGGTGTGTCCATGGGCACGTGGACCTGCAGATGGGTCTGGACTCTCTAGGCCTAAGCAGGAGAGCCAAGCTGGGATCTAGAACTGGGAGAGAAAGTGTTGACGGGAAACCAGGAGAGGGCGGTGTGTTAAAGCTGAGAGACAGACACACTCATTGAAATAGAGACGGACAGACAGAGGCGCCCCAGGATGCATGAAGCAGCCCTCAGTGACGCTGTGGCTCCTTATCACACCCAGGCTCAATACGCATATGCACATACAATGCTGCTGCCCTTCCTGGCTTCCCACTGAGACCACACTCAGCCCTCAGCCCTACGGGGCTGCCCATGCCTCATGCACTGTGGGCCTAAGGCAAGGGGTAGCTGGCCATCCCTGGAGGCCTGTGGGCAGTGCTCACCTCTTGAACAGGAGGATGGCGATTACGATGAGGATGATGAGGATGACCGCCAGGACGGGGCCAGTCACCCACAGCATCTCGGGCTCTTCCTGCTGCTGGGCTGTTGTCACCTGGACCACGATCTCATCAGAGTAGGGGCTTGAGGCATAGCGCTTCTGCGGCCCAGTGGAGGAACACAGCATGGGCAGTGAGCTCAGTTGAGATTCCCCCACCTACTGCCCACCACATTTGCAGAAAGGGCTCTGGGGCTGGGTTATACAGGGGTGGCCAGGCCTGGTCTCCAGACTCCAAGAGGCTGACCTGAGCCAAGTTAGCTTACTGGGTCGCTAGGGCTGGATTAGGCCTGGTCCTGTGGGGACTGGTGAATGGAGTCTAGAGATCCCTAGGGTGGTTCTGAGGCCTGCTCCAGGACTAGGATAGCACAGCGTTTGAGACTGGCTAGTCTCAGGCCAGGCCTAGGGTCTCAGGGTGCTAAGAGCCCAGGCAGCTCAGGCAGACCTGATCCACAGGTTCCTTGAGGGAGGCGAGCACGAAGCACTGATAGCTCAGGTCCGGAGAGAGGGGCCGGTTGTAGAAACCCTGGTAATTCTTCTTGTCCCCAAGGGTGAAGGTCTCGGGGAGCACGTCCACCTGAGCAGCCACGTATGGCTTCAGCCGCTCTGTCTGTCGCCGCTGCCGCTGATGCTCCCCGCCGCCCTGCTCGATGGCCTCCAAAAGCTGATGGGGCAGACAAGGGAGTCACATGGAGCCCTGGCACAGAGGTCTCCAGGCCCATAGCCTAGAACACTGGCTAGCTGGGCTGAGGCAGACTCAAGTCCAGTAAGAGGCCCAAGTCTCAGAATAATGCTGGACTTGACATTATTCTGTCAAGTGACCTGAGACGTGACACCGCACTCTTCTCTACCAACCTGTTCAGTCAAGGCCCTCTGGGCAACCTGCCCCTCACTTGAACCAGAGAGGGCTAGTCCCACACCTCTGTGAGAAGGGAATGGGATCAATATCCTAGGGGCTCCACGCTAGCCCCTTATGACTCTAAATTTATAGATTCTTAATTCTCTAGATGCCCAGAGCTGTCTCTGCTTCTTCACACCCCAGGGAACCCTCAGCACACCGTCTCCAGGGGATTCTCTGTAAGCCCTGCAGTAGTTTTCTAAAAACTCTCCAGGGGCCAGTCAGAGTTTGTCTCTAGAGAAGGGGCAGGCTGCCAGCCAGGGTGATTCCAGCTTGGGGAGAGCTGTCCCATCCCGGTCACCTCGTCCAGCTCCAGCTCCTCGGGTGTGCTCCATCGGGGTGCCAGCATGCTCCCAGCCACACGGTCAATGGGTACCACCACGATGTAGAACCACCTGGATGGGCAGGGCAAGAACCAGGATGTCACTGCTTGTGCCCACTCAGCACCCCTGCCCACCTCCCTGGGGCCTCATCTGCACACCGGATGAGTGAGAGATCTTGCACGTGGGGCATGGAGAGTGTGAAGCGGCCATCCTCTATGTAGGCAGAGGCTGGCAATGGCTTGTTTGGCAGGAGATCGGGGGCTGTGCGGATGGACACCAGGTGCTGCAGGCCCCCTGCGCTGTTGCCACGGTTCATGAGCACGAACGAGTACTCTGTGTTTGGCTGCAGGTCTGCGATCAGCTTCCGCATCGAGTGCCCATCTACCTCCACGCTCTGCCCGTTGTACAGGATCTGTGGGGGAGGGGGCACAGCAGTGCAGCTGGGTGAGGTTCGCCTTCAAGGGCAGGTGTTCATGCACACCCAGCCAAGACCCCACTGCACAAACACGTGCACTGGACTGAGGGCATGTGGCCTCCCGACATGTGCTGGGCTCCGCTGGCCACGACCCTCACCCACCTTGAATGGTACAGCCGACTTGTAGGAGTCAGGGACCTCCCAGCTGAGCAGCACAGATGTTTTCATTGCGGCAGCCACACGGAAGTTCTTGGCAAACACTATGGAACACAGGAAGGGTCGGTCAGCTCTGGCCATGTAACTGGGGTGAATGGGCCTAAAGGGTTCTTTGCCCTTCAGAGACGCGGGTCAGGGCTCGGGGGTTGGGGATGGCTACAGAGGATCTGTACCCCTCTCCCAGCCAGCTTCAGCTCACACGCTTCAGTTCTCAGCCCTGTTCAACCATGACACCAGGCAGGGGCAGATGCCACAGGACCCACGTTCAAAGTCCCCTGCAGGGCTTGGGTAAAGGCTGGAGTTCTTGACACCAGGTCAGAACGACCAGGAAGGCAGTGGGATTTGGCTATGAGAAGCATATGGCTGCACACCAGGGCACAGTGGAGCTGAGGTCAGTGGGTCGCGGTCCCAAGAAATTAGTGTCGCACACCCAGAACGGAGTAGTCAAGAGAGATCAGTGGGTTAAGGTCACGAGAGAGTGGAAACTCGCACAGCAGAGGTCAGTAGGTCAAGGACAGCAGAGGTCAGGGGTCACACACCAAGAACATGGCACCCATTCACTAGAGGTTAGAGGTCACAGTCATGAGAGATTGGAGGGTCACACACCAGAGGCTGGCAGAGCAGTCGCCAGAGGTGAGTGGGTCAAGGAGAGCAGAGATCCCCAGGCGCCGCCACGTGCCCACAGCACACACCTTGCTCCACGGGCACGGTCCGGGACTGGATGCTGGGGCTGAGCGGGCCAGCGCCTTTGCTGGTGTGTGCACGGACCTTGACATCATAAGTGGTATCCGGCTTGAGGCCGGAGAGTGTAAAGTGGGTGTCGGCAGTGACATTCTGCAGCTCCTGCTGGCTATTGATGTCACGGTACACCACGGTGTAGGTGGTGATGCGTCCGTTCCTCTCCGCCAGCACCGGGGGGTCCCAGGTCAGTTCTGTGGTGGACGTGGTCAGCCCTACCACTTGCAGGTTTTGGGGGAAGCCGCTGGGTGCGTCCTCAGGAGTTGTGATCTCCTTCTCAAACTCTTCCCCTGGGCCAGCCCGGTTCTTGGCAGCAAGCCGGAAGATGTAGGTGGCCCCCTTGTGCAGGCCGGTGACTGTGAAGTGCTGGTCGTCCTTGCCAAAATCTATGGTGTTGGGCCGCGCCTCATCCGCCCGGCGGTACTGCAGCCGGTAGCCCACCAGCTCGCCGGGCAGCTCCTTGGGTGGGTGCCACTGGAGCAGCGCGGTGTTCATGGCTGTGGTGCTGACCATCATGGTAGGCCGGCCTGGGACTGAACAACCACGCACGGGGCTCTGGCGCTGCCCTCCTTGCTGCCCGCCCTCAGCTCTGCCCTGACCCCTCACTCACCTGCCCCGGTTGTTGTGACAATTTTGGGCTTGCTTCGTGCACCATCCCCTTTGGTGGTGTAGGCGGCGACAGTAATGGAGTAGGTGGTCTCTGGTGTCAGGCCGCTGATGGTGGTTTCCTAAGGGAGAAGCAGGAGGTCCATTCCCATCACAGGAAGGCAAGGGACAGAGCGATATGGCAGCCATCTCAGGGCCTGAGTTTCTATAAGGGGTGGCTGGGCAATCTGGACTCTGCTGGAGGCAGGGCTGGCAGGTGGGGTGTGTGCCCAGGAGGACCAAGCCTGTCCCAGGAGCTGCCTGCCTGGGGCAGACAGCTTCCTTTCAGACAAGAACAAAGGGCACACTGTTCCCTGCTCCAGCGTACTGTGAGTGACACCTCGGAGGCACACACACGGCGCAGAGCCTCGCACGCACAGAGCGCCTTGCATGGCTCTCAGCACGCACATGCACACAGCCTGCAGATCCGTCTCCATAAGCAGGTGGAAGGCCACCTGTAGACACGAGTCACACACACATAAAGGTGGAGGGAGACCAAGGTACCACCACAGGAGCAAGTCAAGATCCCATCTGACTCCCACCTAGGCACTGGCTCCATAAATGCTTTCTGCCCTGTGATACCTCCTGACACGGGGAAGAGAAGCAAGGAGCACAGGGAACCCCAACCCCGGGAATGCATCTTTACAATGTCCGCGGCAATGGCTAAGAAGTCAGCTAGGGCAGCAATCCCCCCTGCCTTGGCAGACTGCGCCCATATGCCCATCTGTAGCCAAAGTATCATTTCTGGACATGCGGAGAAACACCATGGAGGCCAAGCCACACCACACAGAGGGAGAGTGGGAAGGAGAAAGGGGACCACCGTGCAGTGGGAACAGAACTGTCACCACCAACCCTGGAGTCCCTCCAGCTCTGAGTCTTGGGTAGGGGCCGCTGCCATCACCAGCCCCTTGCAGGCCCCCTCCTCTTCTAGCTGGAGGGTCTCCCAGGGCCAGGGCTCCAGAATCACCAATGCCGGAACCCGTCTCCCCAGACGCCCCTCTCAGCCTGGGCCCAGAAGTAGATGATTTTTCACTCCAGGGATCAATAAGGCCTAACGATCAGGATTGGATTTAACTCCAAGCCCGTCTGGCCAGAGCAGGGGCCAGGCCCTGGTCGATCATGAACATTGGACTCAAATTGCTGCTCGACAGGCGAGAAGTAAGGATTAAAGGAAATGCCAATCGCTGCTCAGCTCAGTGCTCGAGTCTGAACGCCAATTTTCTCGGGATGTGGCTGGTGCCCCGTGGATCTTGGTGGCTCAGGCTGGGAGGAAAGGCGGGAAGGGGGAGTGTCCCAGGAGCCCAGCCTGACCCAGGCCCTGTCCGCATTCGCACACCTGTCCGCGTTCGCACACCTGTTACTTACATAGTCCTCGGACTCCTCTGGCCGCCACTGAGCGCGGGGGAGGGAGAGAAAGGGAGACAGGAGGTGAAGAACTCTGGTCTGGCGGGGGCCTGGCCTGGGAAGGGCAGATGGAGGGCATGGGCCTCCAGAGATGCCAGGGGTAGCACCCCTGAACCACTCACTGTCTGAAGTGTGTGTGCCCTGCCGAGCAGGGGAGACCTGGAGGGCAGACAGCTGTGGGGGGGGGGGGTGCCCTGACACTGAGGGAGCAGACAGCACTGCCTAGAGAGGCTTTAAGGGAGAGACAACCAGACATGGGAGGGGGGCTGCAGCTCTGGAGGAGGTGGTGACATGAGGTGATTGTACACCCCGGTTTGCTGGGGCTGTCCTGGCCTAAGCTTATCATGGTGTATTCGCTCAGCGTCTCTGCTCTGGTTGGAACTAAAGATTATACAGCCGGATGGCGGATGGGGCAGGGGTGGGAGGCAGGACAGGCTGGTCAGTAAGATGATGAAGGCTGGGAATGCCCAGCTGAGCCTGGGCCCTGCCCCACAGGCACAAGGAATCACTCAGATACCTGTGTCTTCTTGGAGTTGCTGAGAATTAAGGCAGGAAGGCATGTTTCAGGGCTGACAATGTTATTTCCTTAGACCCTGGTGCACGGAGGTGCACCAGCTGGAAGGTGAGGAGAGCGAGGTCTCCCACAGTCCTGGGCACTGGAAGGGTGTTGGCCAATGTCCAGTATAGCACTGGGAGATGGTTTTGACGTCCCCAGGCTAGCTCTACCACAGAGTCCTCCGGTCTAACCACCCTCTCAGAGCTGGTCTGCTCCATCGGCCCCTGTTCCTGTTCTAGTAAGCTCTGTGGGGAAGTCCTTGCAAGGAGTGTGAAACAAGATGCGGGAGGCCATCGGCGATGCCGAGCAGCCACCGCCACTTTCTAGGGTGTGGCCTGGCCCACCTCTGCCCTGAGTATCTTGACTGTCAGAAGACTGGCACTGTCCAAGCCAGGCCTGAGTATGGAGGCCCTTGTGGGCACCTCTCCTTTGTCAGGCAGAGTGAGGAAGAAGAGAAAGACAAAGAGGGTGAAGCAACATGGAGGGAAAGAGGACTGAAGGGATCAGAGGACAGGAGAGAGGAGAATGAGACAAAAGAGGGAGGGAGCCAGTGAGAGGAAAAGACAGAAGGATGTGAAAAGAGATGGAGGGCAGGGAGATGGAGGCATATGCTGAACGGGCCAGGTCTGGCTGTACACTTGCAAGGGGCACGCACCCCATGGTTCTCCGAACTGAGGGAGCCCTGAGCTAAGTAGATGGTACTGCTGGGTAAAGAACAGGCTGTGGTGTCCTTGACATGGGGCTCAGTGGACAGCTGAGCCCCACCGCCAGGTTGAGGATCAGGCCCCATCTGCTCCCCTATGGCTTAGAGCAGAATGACTCAGTCCCAAGGGGCCACAAGGGCAGGCCCTCCCACTTCAACTGACTTTCCTAGAGCCCAGGCTCATGCTTACCCCAGCATCATGGGATGTCTGGGGCTAAGAGGGCAACGCCCCTCATCCCAGCCCAGCTCCCCTCAAACCACCTGGGACCAGAAGGGGGCATCCAAAGCGATTTCTTTGTAATGCCACTGGCTGCAGCTGTGCTGCTGGCCCCCGTGGACGGGAGGGGCCAGAGGGAGTCCATTCCCGGCATGTTCTGGGTGGGTGTGTCTACTGAGGAGCCCTCAACCTGCCCGAGGAATGCAGTGGGTAGACATGTCGGCCTCCTCCACCCCTTGATCTCTCAGCACTGGGTAGGCTGAGAGGACGAGAAGAGCACCCTCTGGCTAGAAAGGAATTTGGCTTCAGAGGGCCGAGCCCAGCTGGAGGCAGGAAGGCCCCGTCTGTGTGGGTGAGTCCACTACTGAACAGCATAGAGAACATGGGAATGTGCTTGTACTTCTGACCCCAGTCCAGGCTGGTGTGAAAAACTGGAAGGTAGATGGGTTCTGGAGGGGATCTGAGCTCTGTCCCCCAGGGCTGGCTTAGCTGTTCCCTGTGGGCCCCCCAAGGCTCTGATTGGATGGGGAGAACTTCAGAGCAGACCACATACTAGCTGACTCTTCAGCTGACTATTTTGAGAGAGAACTTACAATTACAGCCTTTCCCAGGCACCCAGAGACTTGGCTTCTTATCCTAGGTCAGTCCCCCACTTCCTGGAAAATTGTGGACCACTCATATAACATCTTGGTACACCAAGTTCATCATCTGAAGAGCAAACCAGTGCTCAGAATCCCCCAGGGACCTCAGCCCAAGGACAGAAGTGCACAAAGGGAGACATGAGGCTGGCAGGCACGTCTACCCTAGAATAAACACTAGGGGCTGGGCCATCTCCTGGGGACCAGGCACAGAGGAACACGCCAGCATGGTCATTTACGGAACTGTGCAATGGCCAAGGGCCACGCAGGGAGAGATAACAGTCCAGAAGTCCCGTCTTTGGCCGTGGAGAACTGACTACCCAGCCCAAAGAAGTCACGTCTCGCAGGCCCAGCCTAACTGTGAAGGTGAATGCACTTCCTGTACCAGGAAGTTACAGGAGGACACAGGAGGGCTGATACCTGGGAAGGAGGTGATAGTGGAAGCCGGATTGATTTAGACAGCACTCACTGCTAATGCTGGTGGCTGAGGCACACAGGTAAGTGCCAGATGGGATTGCCACCAGGGCAGATGAGGCTGGCAGGGTTGGGGGACCACTCACGTAGACCCAAGACAGAGGGAGGGTTCCCGAAACACCTGACCCCAAACTCCTGGTCTCTGTGCCTCCCCACAATGCAGCAGGATATCTCAGTGTCCCCTCTGAGGACAGAAGAGGACTCCAAAGAGAACAGAATGTGCTGGGGCCCCCCACCCCTCCCACCCCACCACCTCCAGGTGGCACACCTGGGCCTCAGCCAGCATGACGTCCTGGATGACGGGTGGGCCACGGGGCTCGCCATTCTCTAGCCGCACATAGGTGACCTGGTAGCCACGGATCTGGCCATGCTGCTTGCTGGGAACGGGCAGCTTCCAGGAAACACGCACGGCAGTGGAGTTCACCGGCTCCACTTCCACCTTCCGCGGTGGCCCGCTGGGCACTGGGGACCAGGTAGAGAAGGAAGTCAGGCCTGGGGCACGGGTCGGGGCTCAGGTGGACACAGCACACCCCAGGGTCTTGCCTCTCTAGCCCACTCTCCCGGGAAAGGCCCTGACATGGTTTCTTAAGACTGTCCCTGAAGATGAGCTGGGCGGGCTCCCTGTCTGTCATGGGAAGAGCCCAGGACTGGCCTGCCAACCAACCCCTCAGATCCAGGGCTACCTCATTCAGTGGGGGAACAAGCGGCCAACCAGCCCAGAGTCAACATGACCAGGCCTCTCTCCTCCTGGGCCCCAAGGCCACACCAATGTGTAGCCAGGGTGGGATCTTCTTGAATCTATTTTGTGCATCTCTTGCACCTTCCAGTCTTGACCTTTCTAATTCTAGTTGGAGTCACTTGCTTCACTTGGGGTTTTTAAATTTCTTGTTGCACCAGGCTAGGACGTGGGCCTAGGCTGTCCCCAAAACTACATCTCTCTAGTTGGGGTCATTAGCCTGCAGTAGGAAGATGCGTCCTTCTGGGCTCATGGGAGGCAAAGGCCCTGGGGCAGGAGGTGGGTGGTGTCCGGCAGGGCGCCTCCCCTCCCCGGCCTCCCAGCTGCCTACCGTCTTCATCTGTGCGCACCAGCACCGGGCTGCTCTCTGGGCCGGGGCCAACGTCCGTGTGCGCCCGCACCCACACCCGGTACTCCGTCCACTTCTCCAGGCCCACCAGGTCCCAGCTGGAGTACTCGCGACTGATGCCGTCCACCACATGACGTGCCCGGTCCTCGCCGTCCACTGCCTCGTAGGCCACCGAGTACTGGGTGATAATGCCGTTGCGGCTGTCGGCCGGTGGCGGGACCCAACTTACCCGGATGATGGTGGAGCCCGCACTCACACAGGTCACCTTCTGGGGAGGGGCGGAGGGGGCTGGGAAGACAAATGAGGGGAAGCAAGCAGATGGAGGGTGGGGGCCACAGGTATGGTGAACAGTCACAAAGGATGGACACTCACCCAGGTAGGCTGCTCCCTGAGAGTGAAGGGCTCCCCCAGGGTCCCCCCAAGGCAGGCTGCTGCCACTGGCGCCAGACAGCCCGGCTTCCTCTGGACTACAGGCTCGCCTCACATACACACACAGTCTCCCACACACATATGGTGTCTCTCACACTTAGGGGACTCCAACAACGTTTCACACACACGCACAAAACACACGTGCCATCAGATCACATAGACCAAGGGCTGCACCACTCCCGCCCTCCACCCGGCCGCACACACACAAGCACACACAAGCTCTCCGGTGGCATTGCCGACCTCTCTTCTCAGGACAAACGGTCCCAGTGGCACTCCCAGGGCAAGTCTGCTGCGACCTGTGCCTGACCGAAGGCATCTGTGCCTGAGCCACAGGGACCCACGGAGGTGGGAGGCCAGACAGGATGGGGCAGGTGGCCCCCGGGGCAGTTAAGAGAAAGGTGCCCAACAGAGGTGTTCTCATTCAACAGGCCCCTCGGGGTTAGCTTAGGGCCTGCGCCCTCCTTTTCCAGGTGACATTTCTGGATCCCATTCCCACTTAGGGCTGTGTTGCTGTCTCTGGTTCCACCACCAACCTTGCTTGAGTGACTTCAGACACTGCTCAACCCACTGGCCTCAGAGCCCCTCACCTCCAAGTCTTTCTCCTCTGATACAATGCTGAGACCATGGCCTGGATGTCACCACTACAGGAATGGTCCTACCTCCCAAACCATGGCCCCCAACACCCCCTCACAGAGCTTTCCCTCCAGTCCCAGCTCAGTTGCCTCAAGCCCCTGGCACTGCACCTGCCTCCCTGGACATCTGTCTGTCTGTCGCCCTACCATCCTTCCCACCCTCCATATTCAACTGAGATACCAAGGGTCATATCTCAGCACTCTTCTCAACACCCCAAACACCCTCAACCACCTCGTTCCATTCTTCTGGCCAGCCCCCATCAGCTCTCAAACAATCCAAGTCCCTACCCTCACAAGGTGGCACCAGGGCAGGCTGACAGGCTGTGAGCACATGCCCCGTGCCTCACCTGGGCCTTGTGCTGCCTGCTGGGCTCTGGGCCCTGCCCAGCTCATCGGCCACTTGCCACAATGCTAGCCTCCTCCTCCATGCTCCTCAGACTTCCAGCTTCCCTCCAGGACCCTCCCCGTAGCACATGCCCCTGCCTCCCACTTTGCTGAGACAACCGAAGTCCCCAGTAGCAAATGCCTCCATTTCTTGCTACCAACCCACCTGCATGTGCACCGATGCTTTTCTGCCTCCAGCGGGCAGGGAGAGGTGTGTCCTCTTGTCCAAGGCTCTCTCCCCATGGCTAGTGTTCCACCCTGTCCCCCAACACCTGAGCCTCCAATTATCCTCTCTTTTCCATATTTTCTGCTTCTCCCTATTGACTCATTCCCAGTAGCATTTAAATATGCTCAAGATTTTCCCATTGGTAAATGGGAATTTGACAAAAGACACATCTTGTCCTCAGTACCCTTTCCCTCGCAGCTAAACTTCTGACCATAGGGATTTCTGTCTCTCCTCTTCACCTCCATACAAGCCTCCACTTGGCTTCAGTCCCTTGCAGCGCCTAAACTCCCACCTGGGTGCGCTGCTGTGCTCTCTGCCCTGGCCACTCAGCAACAGCCTCTGGCCTATGAAACTCTCTTCTTTAGACACTGCCAAGACACCCCCTTTCCTGGACTTCCTACCACCCCACTCATTCATCTCAGAGTCCTCCACCTCCAGTATGGCAGCGTGCCAAGCATCATCACAGCACATGGTGTCTTGAACCTGGGTGCCTGCTAGGTCCTTCATACTGGTTTCCTGTCCAAGGATGGGAGCCACCACTCTTCTCCCGAGTTTACACACCAGAAAGTGTTCACCTTCTTCCTCGCCACCACCCCCACCCCCACCCTTCACCATGTCCCTGCCAGTCGGCACCTCAGAAGCCCTCAAATCCACTAGCTCTGTCTCATCTGAGCCACCTTTTGCTGAAATTGCTGCAAAAGGATTGCTGGTTTCCAGCATCCTCTCGGGCTGCTCTATTCAGTCTTACATGGCAGCTCCCTGTCCCCGGTCCCTGAGGTCCTGACTGCTGTGTTCTGGTGGCTACTCCAGCCACACTGGCCTACTATTACCCAGACTGAGCATCTCCCGCTTCAGGGTCTTTGCACCTCTGCCTGAGGCCTCCGTGCCATCCTCCCTGGCTTCTCAAACTAGATGAGGCTCTTGCCCGATCACCTTGACAAAATGGGTATCCTCACAGCACTTTACACAAATGTAAATAAAAAGGTCATTTGTATTATTGCAAGTTTAATGGTGTTTGCGCCCCCTGGGGCATAGAATGCCCAAGGGCAGAGGTTGTGTAGGATGCCCATGTCAGGGTTGTGCTGCCCGTGTTGCCCTATGCATGGGCCTGGCACTGGGCAGGAGTATACTAGGTGCTGATGGAAGGACCCATGAATGTCAGATCACACGTGGCCTCCTGAAGTCACTGGAACATGTGCACACACTCCCATGTCACATGGACAACCTCAGTTACTACGGTGTCTAAGGTCACCCACACGTGGTCACTACCTTGAAGCTAAGACACAGTACTCACATACCCAAGGCCCTGATATCCCACAGACACAGACAGTGGCTGATGTGGCTGTGACACAGCCTGTGGGCTTATGGCAAGCTGCAGAGGCTATAGAAAGGGTCATAGGTGAGAAACACTTGCTGGTGTCCATACCAAGAACAGTCTTACAGGGCCTCCCTGGGGTCGCAAGGAGTTAAGATGCAGCCTGTGAAGCTGTCCACAGCCTCTGTAGCACAAGTTCGATCCCTGGCCACCCAGGGAGCAATCCACATGGTGCAGCAGACCTCTCCTGACTCGTCCACTGCTCCCCTCAGCAGTGTATTTCAGTCAGTCTGCCTGTTCTGTTCCCCACTCTGTCTCTGGTGAATCCTCTCACCCCCGGCACCTCTGACATGTACCCCAGCTCTTGTATGATAAATAAATCTTAAAAAAAAAAAGAGAAGTCTTAACAAATCCAACCAGGGACTCGCTGCCATACACAGGTGCCACACGCCAGGGGGTGAGACGTGGTCACACACAAGCTCATGGCATTAGTCTCTCACACACAGTAACACACACACCACTAGGCTGTCATATGCAGGACCTCACAGACGGTTCCATGCATGGACATGTAGTCCCAACATGGGTATGTGGCCACGTTTGCTCACAAGGTTGAATTTTCATGGATGTGTCCCTGTGCGTGGCCAGCTCAGGGTGATTACACAGCCCACTTATACATCTCATGATGGGGGCATGAGGCAGGGGACATGGGTGACAGGTGACATGAGATGTGGAGGTATGGGGAGGGAAGACAGCTGCCAAAGCAGGTCTGGGACGTGACAGTCCCACCACTGAGGATGGCCCAGTCGGCTAGTGCGACCAGAACAGGGGGGGGGGCGGAGGGAGGAGATGAGCCACAACACAGAACTTACCTGGGGGAGAGGGGAGGGGCATGGGGGAGGGGCATAAGTCAGGCAGGAAGCAGCGAGGGCAGCAGCCACCTGGACACAGTTTAGAGGGCACTTACCTGTCCCTCTCTTGGGGTCCAGACCTGGAGCCCAGACCAGAGTGCCCAGCAGACCTGACCTCCCACCTGCTCTGGGCAGGGGTCATGTGTGTCTGTCTCAGCCCAGCTGTAGCAGGTGGCCTCAGGAGACACTTACTGGACTGTGCTGTGCGGGCCTCAATGGTGGGGGTGAAGACGCCCACCCCCATGTCGGAGCGGGCAGCCAGCTGGAAGTGGTACAGCGTATCAGGCTTCAGGTCCTCTAGGGTGTAGGAGGAGGTGGGGTCGAAGGTCACCTTGTGCTGGAAGAGCAGGGAGCACTGACTGACTATGCTGACCTCAAAGGTCACTCAACGTCGTTCCCCACCGTGGGCTGTGGCGGACCCTCCAGGCCCAGGGTGGCTCTATGCCACATGGCCAGGCCATCTCGACCACACAGGGACTCATGGCCAGAGGCACCTCATAGGTCACATGCCACAGAACACCTGGGACCTGTGGCCTGAAGGGGATCATTGGTGCTCTGCTGGTGCCTCATGCACCAGAGCCTACGAGAACCAAGAACAGACCTGGGGACTCTGTATCTGGCACAAGGGTGACAAGACTATAGGATCGTACTGGCCACAAGAGCGCCAAAGCCCCAGTGAGAACCCCTGGAGCTGTACCCGCAGAGAATCCAGAACGGCTGCCTGGTAAGCCAGTCACAGACCATTAGGGACCAGGAGGGGGCCTCCTCCCTTTTCCTGCCCCTGCCAGGCACCCACCTGCTGGTCTTCGTCCTCTGCTGCCCAGTACACCAGCTCATACTTGACGATCCGCTCCTGAGGGGGTAGCAGCCACGAGAGCTGGATTCTGGTGTCCGACTCCGCCTCGGCCTGAAAGTCCGCGGGCTGGGCGGGAACTGCAACAGCCCCGCCAGGTACTGTCAGCTGCATCAGCATCCCGAGGGCAGAGGCATCCAGGAAAGGAGGCGGGGGAGGCAGACACTCACCCCCACACCCATCCTGCATCCCAACTGACCTGAATCTGGAATATTGGCCCTCATGCTCCCAGAGCCCCTCCTCCCCATGGCCTCAGGGAGGTGGTGTCCCCACTGCCTTGCCCACCCTGGCTCTGCTCAGCTGCGGTGCAAGGATGCTGCCTGCACCTACCTCCCTGTTGTGTCTTGACCTGGATGGTGGGACTGGGTGGGCCATCACCCACAGCGGTGAAAGCCAAGACGCGCAGGCTGTAGGTGATGCCGGGCAGCAGGCTACCCACGGTGGTGAGGAGCCCTGCGTCCGTGTTGTGCTTGTGCCAGGCACTCAGGGGGCGGCGGGCATCAGGTGTGTAGTAGACGCGGTAGCCCCGCACCAGGCCATTGGGCTCCTCAGGTGGCTCCCACTGCACCAGCATGGTGCTGGCACTCAGCATGCGTGCCTGGACACGGCGGGGTGGGCTGGAGGGTGCCTGTTCCCCTGTGCGTGCCCGCACTGCCTCGCTGGGGGGTCCTCGCCCAATGCTGTTGACCGCCAACACACGGAAGGCATACTCCGAAAAAGGGCTGAGGCCGCCAATGCTGTAGCGGGTGGTGGCCACGCCATCCACCTCCTGGAAGGCACCGTCCGTGCCCGCAGCACGGTACTGAATGCCGTAGTAGGACACAGGTTCCGAGTTCCCCGAGTCCCAGGTCAGGGTGACGCTGGTGGCAGTCGTCTCTGTCACCACAAGGTCAATTGGAGGCTTTGGTAGAGCTGGAAACAAAGAGGAATGCTTGGGGGTGGCCCAAGGTCGTGAGCCCAGGAACCAGCCATGCCCTTGTGGCCAGCCTGAGTGTGGCTGACTCCACAGTCCACCTTGAAGAATAGGCTAGAAAGCACATGGTGACCTCAGAGGGCACCTGGTGGGGGATGGTGGCTGGGCCCACAGGGCCCTGGCTCATCTAGTGTCTGTACACATCACTGTGGGACTCGTCAGAACCTACTGACATCAACCTGTGACTTGTCCACAAGCAGACCCAGAGGTGGTGACCCTGCCTGGGTTCCCTGCAGATGGAAAGCAGATGGGAGGAGAGACCTGGCCCTGCAGTTCACTACCTCACCTGTCGGTGACTTAACAGGGTAGGGAGGGAGGAGGTGTCTTGTGAAGAAATAGCCCTAGGCTTCAGGAAGACAGGGCTGCTGGCCACACAAACCCTGTGGCATGACTCAAGTGTCAAGTGTCCACTGAGGGCCAGGCACTGTGCTAGATCCAACTGTCACAACCACGTTCCTGCTCTCCTGGAGTTTATATTCCAGAGAGAGATGGATCAGTGAGTGAGGGTCATGACTGTGCTATGTGCGAGGACAGCAGAAAGGAGGGTGCCGAGATGAGAAAAGTCTAGGGAATCCCCGTAGGCAGAGTGACCGGGAGGTCTCACAGAGCTGAGATACAGCCAGTGGTGGCAAAGGGCTGCATGAGGAGCATGGGGCTGCAGCCTGGTGTGGGAGGGAGGGAGAGAGGGAGGCAGTAGTTGGGACCCTGGTCTTTCCCCTACAGTGGTGGGAAACCACTTTGTTAAAAGGCAGTGACATGATCCATCTTAAAAAGCCCATGTGAGTGTGGAGTGGAGGCAGGAAGAGGGAGCAGAGGAATCAGGGAGCCTAGAGGCATCTGCTACATATGCATGTCTATCCCCCCACCCCACCCTAGGCTGCTATTTCGCCACGCCCTTCTTACCAGGAGTCTGGCAAATCTATTGGTCTGTACTCCAGTGGGGACAGGGCATGCTGCGCAATCAGACCACCCAGGGCTTTCGCCTCTGCTCATTGTTTACTTCTGTGTGACCCTGGGCCTCAGTTCTCTTGCTTGTAAAATGGGCCTAACGAGTTCATCTGTCTCCCAGGGTGACAAGAAGACTGAAGAAAACAATCCGTGCTTACTGGTATGATACGTGCCCCTGAACTCCGCACATGCCAGCTAGTACATGTCTAACAGTCACCGACCGAAACCCCTCCCCACACTCCTAAAGGCCTGGACCCTGAGCAAGGGCACGGAAGAGAGAACAAGGGTTCCCTGGCTCGCCTTCCAGGGATGCTGGGACCTCCTCTTGCCCTCTGTGACGGAGCAGGGCCACACCACGCCCTGGCACGCACCTTTGACCGTGACCTGGGCTGTGGCCTCTATCATGCCCAGCGAGGAGATGGCCACGCAGGTGTAGTTGGCAGAGCGCACCACATTGCTGAGCTCTAGCACATTGCGGCCGACTGGCATCTCATCTTCCTTGGTGAGCTCCTCAGCTCCCATCATCCACTTCACGTAGGGCATGGGCGCGCCCACGGCCACACATGTCAGGTTCACGCTGCCGCCTGGCATCACCTCCTGGCTGCTGGGAGGGATGGAGAAACGAGGAGCCACACGGCGCACTGTGGGAGGAGGGAGAGAGGCGCTCATAGGCCGGGCAGGACACGCAGGAGGATGGAAGGGCAGGGGCCCCTCATCCAGGAAGCCCTCTCGTCAGAGCCACACCCATCTCAGACACAGGAGGGGTGGAGTCCCTGGGCCCGGCTCATCATCTCCCACCCACGTCTGGGCTAGAGGTAGCCCCACACTCAGGGACAGTCTGGAACATGACTGCAACCAAGCTCCGGTTTTATAACTGGGAACTCAGCCTCAGAAAGGTCCTTCTGCCCAAGGTCACATAGGACTCAGTACAAGGTCCAGACTTCAGGTGTACACTGCAGGCTTACCCAGGCCCTCATCCCAGGTCGCCTTCCAGTGCCTACCCCTCCCTGCTCCTGAACCTCCTTCCCACAGGGCCTTCCAAGGCACTAGCTAGGGCACCAGTGAGAAAAGTTCAGGTACTCTTGGGTGAAGGGACCTCAGGGCATGGCTGGGGCAGGGCAGAGGGTGAGTCCAGGAGGGACATGGTCACCTTCTCTGGAGTCACACCTCCACTTCCAGGTAGTGGCTGAGGGAAGACGCTGACCACCAGTCGGGACCTCAGTTGTGCCCAAGGCACAGCCTGGGATCCCAAAAAGGAGGGGCTGGGCAGGGGTGAGTGGTTAGGGCGGGCCAGGGACGTGGTCCGCGGGCAGGATGGGCATGACGATGGCAGTAACATGATGAGGGCGCCGAACAGACGGCTTTCCACGCCAATGAACAAGGGTCTCAAGGGGAAGGTGGCTGTGCCTGGCCACAACCTCCAGCCTTGGGTTCCCTGGGTCAGAAGCTGTTCTGAGCTTCTTAGTCCAAGGTGCAGCCTCGCAACCCCCATGTCCACCTCCCCAAAGATGCAAGTTTGGCACATTCAGAACATGCAGGGAAGGAAGGTGGCAAGATCAAGCCACGGGCAGGCATGCTTGGCATGCAGACAGGCCATGCAGCTGGTGGGCAGAGGCTGGGGTGTGTCCTTCATGGGCACCACCACAGCCAGGGCGGGAGGAGGCAGGCAGCAAGGCTAAGTGACCAGAGGGCACCACCGATGACAGTGTGGGTCTCCAGGGCCCTTGCTAGGGAGCCTGGGCATGCAAGACCCATGGTGCTACAACAGGGACAACTCCAATGTGGGCACTAGACTCCGCCGCTCGCAGAGCACAAAACCACAAATTCAGCTGGAAGTCACTGCAGAGATCACTGGGTCCAACCTCTGACCTCACTGCAGAGGTCAAAGCTATGGCCCAGGGAACAGCGAGTCAGCAAATTACTGAGTCCTGCTAATGCACTGCCTAAGTTATCTTTCAAATCCACTAATTTTCTCCAAGTCCACAGGCAGCTGGCAAGGCCAAAGTTCGAGCCAGCACCACCATTCCCTACCTCGGTGTCCTATAGCCCTGCTTCCATAACTGGCCCTCCACAAACAGCCAGCACTGACCAGCTCACATCACTCCCCTGTGAAAAACTCCTGCGTGGTTCCCTGAGGACTACAGAGACCAGACTATAGGACCCTGCTGACTGATCCCCTGCCTCCACTCTGGCCACATCTCACTCTAAGGCCTCCGGACAAAACAAAACACCGGCATCTTGATTGAGCCAGAAATGACCTGTGCAAAGGGCTGGGTCTCCGGGTGTCTCATGGACATTTACTGTTCTGCCTTCCAGAATTGGCCTCCTCACTTTCTGTAGGGGAACCAGCTCTCCCTCTATTCTTGGTACATGGGGGCTGTGGCCCAGATCTGGCCAATGAGCTACCACTCTGGACTTTTGCAAAAACTATTAGGAAAGGAATTTTTTCTCTCTAGGATGATGGCTAACCTTAGAGGGGCTGGGGCCCAACTTTCACAACACAGGAGAGAAACTGCCTGAGAGTCAAGTCAGACGGGGGCAGCACTCAGAGACCAAAACACAAGCCTGCCACATCAGTGGCCAAAATCTATATCAACGTTTTTTAGTTTGACAAGATAAGAGTTTCCCTGCCTTGCGCACACTGACAGAAGAAGGTTCCCATCATCTGTCCTAAGGCTGGGTGTCTCCATCCTGCGAAGAAGCACTTCGTAGGACACCTCTGTGTGGCAGAGAACAGGGCGGGTGCAGGGGCACGGCTGGCAGGAGGAAGCCATGACAAAGAGCCCCTTTAGAGCACTGCTCCCAAATGATGAAAGGGCCAGTCCAGGTCCGGAGGCATGGAGAGAAGCACTGTCTGGTGGTGTGGGCACTTTCTGTTGGTGGTGAGCCTGGGAGGTGAGGGGTGAGCCTGGGAGGCGAGTACAGCCTAGCCCCAGGTCTGCTGATGGAGGGAAGGGTTGGCTTGGACAGAAAGACACAGGGGAACAGCCTTAACTGACCAAGTCTCTCCTGTATGCTCAGTCAATGGTTGCCCCAAAGTCTCCTCCTTCATGGGCATCCAAATGGGCTCAGGGAAGAAAAACCATGCTTGAGCATCTGCTATATGAGTTTCTGCGCTAGAGATGCTATTGGATCCTGATTACAGACAAGGGAAGTGACTCAAGAATGATGCTTTAGGGCCTCCCTGGTGGCGCAAGGGGTTAAGATGCAACCTATTAAGTTCTCCGCAGCCACCGCAGCCTGAGTTCTATCCCTGGCCAGGGAGCAACCCACATGGCACAGCAGACCTCTCCTGACTCGCCCGCTGCTCCCCTCAGCAGCGTGTACTTCAGTCAGTCTGCCTGTTCTGTTCCCTACTCTGTCTCTGATGAATCCTCTCACCCCCCTGCACCTCTGGCCTGTACCCCAGTTCTTGTATGCATAAATAAATAAATATTAAAAAAAAAAAATGATGCTTTAAGTGACCTGACCAAGCATACATACTGGCAGTAGATCTATGTGATGAAAAGCTTTTGAGCCCTGGCTGATAGGGTTGAAAAAGAATCTCGAGAACCACAGGGAGAAACTTCTAGAGCTTCTTGGCTTCTGGATTACTCAAGGCTGGCAGAAAAGGCTGCTCCAGGGTCAGAAGGATGGGACTTGGAAAGGCAGTGGCAGGGAAGAGGCCACAGTTGTAAGTTTGACCCTTGGGCCAAGCCTGGTGGAACCTTGGGCCTGGACCACAGAGCAGACTCCCAGGAAGAGGAAGTAGTTCCTTGGCCAATTAACCTTGGGTCCTAGCCTGTCAGCCCAGAAACTTGACTGGACTTTTACCCAAATAGTTCCTGGAAAATAGGTTCATTTGTTCCACTGTCAAGACCTAACATTGAGAGCAGTTTTATTGTTACTGTATTTCCCCCTTCTAGGTGCAGGGGAAGGGGAGAAGTCTAGGGGCTAAGGATGGGCTGAGAGGGCAGATGTGGCCTTTAGGGTTATCCCTAACACCAGGCAAGGGCCTTCTCAAAGACATGGGCTTTGGCTGCCCATGGGGAGTCCTGGAGGACAGTTTCCTGCAGCTCAGACACACCTTCCGGGCAGTGCGAGGGGGCGAGGGGGCAGAGAACCTCCAGTGACCCAGTGTCAGTGGGGCCCAGTCCCCTGGACCTGCCCGGACAGCCACCCCCACCCCAATGGCAAGGAGGGGCTGGCACCTTGCTGCAGCAGCCCCGCCATCACTCCTCCTGCTGTCACAGGCGCAAGCCCTCAAAAGGGGCAGGACTCTCCTTGGACTCAGTCTATTGACAGAAGCAACAGCAGGGAAGGAAAAACCAGTGCCGGGAAAAATGCACTTAGGGTCTAATCTTGGGCTCCAACAATGCTGGTCTATTACCGTTCCCTGTGCATCCTTAGTACTGACATTTTATAGACAATTTCCAAAACAGGGCCCTGCCATTTCTGGATTATATTTCAGCTGTAACTTTTAAGTCTAATTATTTGCGCTGACAACCCCCTATAATAGGGCGGCGCGGCGCCCGGAGGCATCAGCATTCAGTGGAGTGACAGCCTAATCGCAGGGGGCGGTAGCCCCGCAATCTGCATTCACTCGCGGAAATTTCTCTGATGAAAATAACACAACATTAAGGAGGGGATAAGGGGCAGGATCCACTGTATCAAGATAAAATAACTCTTTAATAAATAACCTTGTGGCTGCCGCAGAGCAGTAATTAAATGCCGGCATACTCGGCACACAGTTTTAAGTAAAGCTGGAAAAATGTAAGATGTAATTATCAGCGCCAAACAAATTACCAGCCCGGCAAATCCCCCTGGAATATTTAGAAACTCATTGCTGCCTTCCCGTTAAATATTTGTGTACAAGCTTTTTTTTCGTGGGACCACAGAAAGGGAGCAGAAAGGTCAAGGGACCAGGATAGGGTGAGGGGAGGTGGCTCCAGCCTAGGCTGTCTCTGCTGATGACTCTTTTCTGAATGCCCACAGATCTGCCTGGTCAGCGAAATGGTGTAAGGAGATGCCCCAGAGCTCAGGAGTGCAGTGGATGGATGCTCAAGGCTGATACCTGAGCTGAGGTCATAGCCCTGCTCCCGACTGGCTCCCACTCCCTCCTGAAGGAAACTCAAGTCATGGAGGATGCAAAAGAGACTAGGTGGCCCTGGTCTGCTTTCTGGGGCCTCGTTCAAAGTCCTGTGGACAGGTGAGCTTCCTCTGACCACCCAGTCTGTGTGACAAGAATGTCTGTGGGGTCTTGCTTGCTAGCCCTGGTTTGGAGCGAGGGGTCTGTCCTGAGGATGGGGCTGAGAACAGATCCCCAGGTGAGATTGCTCTGGAGGGGCTTGAAGGGAGCTTTTTCCAACCCATGTGGGGCGCTGCAGCCTCTTCTGGGCTCACACGTAGGTCTAAGTCACAGCCCAGCATGGGGCTGAGGAAAAGTTAGCTGGCTGGGATGCCAAATTAATCCCACCCTCAGAGTGACATGGGAGCTGGTGAGGAGAATAAACAGTGTGTGGCCTGAGCATACTGAAAGGTCACCTGGATCTGGTGGGAGATGGGAGATAAGAGTGTGAGAGACTTCCTCGAAGAGCCAAGATGATGTCTCCCACCCCGTGCCATCCACACCAAGCTCCATGAACACTAAGCTGTCCTGCGGAGCCTATGAGGGCCTCAAGGACAGGGCAGACCCTGCAGGACTTCTGCCTGTGCTTCAGGATCTTGAGGTGAGCCCATTGTTGATTAGCCTTTTCTCTCCCTCTTCTCAGAGGTTTCAGAGCCCAAGAAAACTTGGAAATTTAAGTGAGTGGGGGACATGGCAGGTCCCCAAGGTATGCATAAAGCACTACAGTTTTTACAACTCCGAGTACCACCTGGAACAGACAGCTTGTCTGGCCCAGGCACAAAGGTGGGGTGTGGTTTCGTGCCATGCACCATGCCTGACCAACCGACCACCCAGCAAAGAAGCCCAGCTAGGGGACATGCAGACACATGGTGCATCAGGAACCCAAGCAGCATGCGGGGCAGGGGGGCCTGCCCATCCTCCCCTGGTCCTGCCCGCCTGCTGGCCCAAACAACAGAGAGCGGATCCGACTGGCAACTGGCGGGCAGGCCTGGCTGGAGAGAGCCTGAGGGAGCTGCCCGAGCCCGCTGGTCCCTACTGATGGGAGCATCCCATCGACGGGCGAACTGTAGATGGATAAGAAGTGAAAAGGACCAACCTTCTCGCTGATCTGAGAGATGAGAGTTTGGGTTGATGGCAGAGTGCGATGAGGATGAGGAGGGAATAAAAAAAAGACAAGGAGAAACACAGAGAGAGTAAAACAGGCCAACCTTCATCTGCCCACACAGCACGGAAACAAGACAAGACTCTTGTGCCCCACGCACACACACGTGCACGCAAGTGCGCGCGGACCACGCCGCTCACGAAAGACTCAGGACTCATGGAGGACACAGTGGACGGGGCTGGGTCCTGCCGCAGGTGCCAAGGCGCCAAGGGCAGGACAGGGAGGGGTGGAAGTGGGGCACAGGCAGGTCCTCATGCCTCACATGACCCCACAGCTTGGACAGACCCAGTGAGCTGTGCTCTGGGGTCAGGGCCCATCCAGCCCACAAACCCACCAAGGCACAGGGGCCTCTAGAACCCTGCCACCTCGAGGAAGCCCCATGCTGCCTGGCACCGCAGTGTGAGGAGCTGGTCTGGGTCCCTGTGGGGAAAAATGCTGAGGAGACATCATCACCCTGCTGAGAGACAGCTGTGGGCCGGGCCTGGCCCTCCAGAGGAGGGGGAGGCTGGGGGGCAGGTAGCCTGGGTTCAGTGGAGGGTGTGGCTCCGCCCTGGCCCCTGGCAGCAGGAGGAGAGAGAGGCTGTGGATGGAAGGAGAGAGTGAGTCACACAGGGAGGGAGGCTGGTCCACCCAGCATGCCTGGGCCTGCTAGACTGTGGGTGGAGTTGCAGGCAACTGTGAGCAAAGTCAGACGTAACTGGATGATGCATCCCCAAAAGTGTTAACCCTCCAGCAGCAGCAGCAGCAGCAGCAGCAGGACTGACTGCCCGACACTTCCTGTGTGCCAAGGGCAGGCCAGGAGTTTTACATGCACTGTTCCATTAAGGGCAGTGACTGCAGGGCCTCAAAGAGGCAGTGGAGCCGAGTCTGGGGGACGATAAGGCACGTGAGGCTTGTGCCTTCAAGGAGGGAGTGTGGCCTCTGGGACAGTGGACATGGTTATAGAGAGTGAGAGACGACTATCCATCCAGAGCAGTGGTTCTCTGGGGAGGATTCCTCCAAGTAACACTGGGCAAGGTCTGGAGACATGCTGGGTTGTCATGACCAGGGGTACTGGTGGCATTTAATGGGCCAGGGATGCTGCTAAACATCGTACAGGACAGCCCCACACAACAAGAATTACCCAGCCTGAAATGCCAACAGAGCCAAGGCAGAGAAACCCTGGGCTAGAATCCACACAAAGCAGGATGCAGAGGTCAGGTCCTCAGCTCCTCAGGGCCCAGGGGCTCCCACCGGTCTGGAGCGCAGCAGCAGCCCACTGTGGAAGCAAGCCTCACATAAGCTCAGCTGGCAGGTGGCAGGCCAGCAGGCAGGGCTCTGTGGGTGGTCCACCCACAAGCAGGTTCAGGACACAGAGTTGGGGACCAGCAGAGCAGGCTATCTCAGAAGAATGAAGGCTGATGGGACCCCAGCACTGCTGGTGGCAGGAAGCAGGGGCTCTGAAGGCCTGAGATGGGGGAGGCGGGGACACCAGAGGCAGGGGTCCTGAGGCAGGACTTCCCAAGTATCTATAAGCTGGGTCAGTGGGGCGCTAGGGTGTCACTCTCAGCAGAGCAGGCCTGAAAACACACTCAGGCCCAGTCCTCAGACACAGGATCCACAGGAAATGTGTGTGCCCGATAAAGAGCGGGAGAGACAACCCAAACCTGTCTTAGGATCTGGCAAGTGTATCTACAACTTAGAATAGAAGCCCCACATTCGCTCCTAAAGGGCCTAAAGAAAAGGAGCCGGGAATGTGACTGCCCTGTGAGGACAGGGGGGCCCCGCAGATAGGAATGCTCCAAGGAGCTGCAGCTTCCAGCTCCCCAGTCAGGGCCAGAGCCACCAGCTGCAATAGCTGAGCTCAATCGTCTCCAAAGAGACTCACAACCCCACCTCAGGACTGAGGCAGTTTCGTGGTGACTTTGGAGAACACCGCTCGCCCGAGATGCTGATACGGGGTCCACCGGCCTGGGGCCTGGCCACCACGTGCCTCAGAGTGGCCTGCCTGGGAATCACCCATGCAGTTCGCTTGGGATTTGCGGTGGCACTACCTGGGCTTGCCTTTCCCAGAGCAGCCCCACACAGCAAAGGGCTTTCCTGCTGAAGCCCGAGACCTTTACCCTCTTGCCTCTGTGGTCCATCAGAACCGCAGAGCGGTGGAATGGTCCAGGGAGGGGGCTGTTCTGTGAGAAAGGTCCTTCCAGCTACTTCTGCAGAGGGGACTTGTCAGAACTGTGCTTATCAGAAGTTCTGCATGGAGCATGTAGGGTGAAAGCTGTGTAGCTGGCAACATCGTGGTCATATGGGGGTGGCTCTCAGACTCCTGGCCTCCTTGCCCGACACTGGTTCCTTAAGATAGGTCAGCCAGCTCATGTGAGCCCTGATGTCAGGATACCTGGTAAGGGGGTCGTAGGCACCACCATCTCACACTCCTAATTCCAACGAAGCACATTTGCCCATCACTAAATGGGCTGGCAGCCTGGGGCCTCCCAGCCACCCGTGCTCTGATACACCCCTCAGTAGGTACATGGCTGACGGCTAATTCTCTGCCTTGTCTAAGTGAGTGAGTCTGACCACGTGGCCCAGAAGAGTGGGACAGGCTGCAGCCGTCGCCCAGCCCTGAGCGTGGGGCTGGGTGTGCAGGTAGACACCACGCCTCTCGAAGCTGCATCAAGCACTCAGTGTGATGAATCATCGTTGCAAGTCGCATCGACTGTCCTTTACGAATCCCCAGAGAGGACACGGTTTCGCTTTTAATGACACCCATCTGTGCATGAGGACTAAGTGAGGGGATGCTGGGGGGTAGAGGAGCTCCCAGGGCACACCAGACCCAGCATGCCTGGTAAGGATGACAGGTGGCCAGCTTTCACTGCTGTAGGGCTGTGAGCACGTATCAGAGACTAGACACCCCTAAACAGTCTCCAGGCCCTTTGTGCTTGGTATCTGGATTAGAGGAAATGCACAGCCTGCTCAATACAGCAAGGAGCACCTGGAACACAGCGGGTGCTCACACGCCAGGGTTCACAGCTGCCTCAGTCTGACCCTCCACACAAGGGTCCCGGCTGCTGACAGAGTCCAGCTGGCACCTCTCCAGGAAGATCTGGTCTGGCCTGTTTCTGAGGCCTGACTGCTCCAAGGTCTGGAGTCATAGTGGACCTGGAGCCCATCCTTCTGGGGAAGGCAGGATAGACTCCAGGAAGGTCAGCCTGGTGTGTACATGTTCACACATAAATCTGTGCCTGCTCACTCATGTGTATACACACACACACACACACACACACAACTGCTTGGAAGACTAGATTCCCGTGGGCCTCTGGGCCCACGTGGCAGGACCTACAAGAGATACAAATGCTCTCAAGAGTGGCTGCTTCCCAAAGGACCTGCAGGGGAGAAAGGCAAAGGAGCGGCGGACATTAGGAGCCGGCCTAGTGGGAGCTGGTTGCTGCTGCAGAAAGAGGACAGACTGGGCCACGGCAGCCCCGTGTGTCATACCAGGGATTCTGGCACAACACCCGGCAGCGGCAGCTCAGTTCGGTGGACACAGGACGGGCACTGCTGGAATCCTTACCTCGAACATACAGATTGGCGGGGGCCGAGTAGCGCGTGCCTGCGGAGTTGGTCGCCACACATTCGTACTTGCCTTGGTCCGACTCCTCACTGCTCTCAATCTGCAAGGCCCCTGTAGGGACACAAAGACAGAGGTCAGGCCTGGGGCATGGGCACTTGTGGCTTGTGATGACCAGATGTTGCAGACATGGGGGCCACACCCCAGTGCTGCTGCTGTTTCCTGGATCTCTCCCAAGGAGCCCAGTGGCTTACTGGCTGGAGCCAAGGGCTGCACTCTGGCGCACTTGCAGCCCAACAGTCCAGTTGGGTCTGTTGGCTCTGTCAGGGGCTCTACCCACTGCCCACTGCTCCACGGAGTGTCCACCCCTCCAAGCAGAGCTGAGGGGAGTGGGAAGAACCAGTGAACATTCCCATTGATGCTCCAGGCCCTACTGGCCCAGTCTGGCATTTACAAAGCATGCAATGTCCTCAGGCACAAGAGCCTGGAAGTCTGTGCCCCACGAGAACCTCACAGGAAGCAAGGGGCTTGCCCTGGTGCCCAGCAGCCTCTGCTCACAGCCCCAATCCCACCCCACTCCCCACCCCGCTGGCCCCACCCATTTTGTTTCCCCTTCCTAGGCTGGTCGCGCTAAAGTGCTTCGACCCACCACAGCTTCTGCATAATTCAGGAGGCTAATGGAGGCTGGAGCGCCCACTAGGGCCAGCGCCCTGAGGGGCTGCTCTGGCCGCAGACGGACAGACAGGAGCCAGGACTGGGAGGGCAGCTGAAAAGGACCCTCACAGAGAGTGGAGGAAACTTGGGCTCACAACCAGTCCTGACAGGTCCAGCCGGGGAAACCCAAGATGGGGGCGAAGCGGGAGGTGAAACCATTCGACTGCCAGCCCCGACAATAAACCCTTGAAAAAACTGCTTACGAGAGCATACCGGGCGAGCTGTCTGTGACAGTAACACCCTGAGGCACAAGCAACACTCCCCACCCCTGCCACAAGCTAAAAGACAATCACACCCACACAAGACAGTCCAACCGACAGTTAGTTAGCCCACAGGACACAGCCTGGAAACCACCTCAGAATGGAACAGCCAGAGACCCTCATCCCCCACCACTCCCAGGGCCCAGACTGCCTGCTGGTCACACCCACACAGGACAGACAGAACCTGCCACACCCCCCTGACTGGACAGGACAGGCGCCACAGAAGAGTTCCAAGCCATGCGCTCACGACCTGGGCCCCAGGGGAGGGACACTACAGGTCCAAGCTGCCTCATGTCCCTCTTCCAGCATCCAGACCCAGGTGGGAAGGACCATGAACATCGGGGAGCTGGAGGTGGGTGAAGGGGATACACAGGCTCCATCCCAAGGAGAGAACAAAGGACTGAGCTGCTCTGTAGTCCTGGCCTCAGCCCTCCCCATGGGGCATCAAGGCACATGCCAAATACCCATCTCCTGTGAGAGCAGCCCTGATGGGCACCCAACAGGACATGTTCATGGGATGGATGGAGACTGTTACAGATAATGTTTGTTCAAATAGGTGGGGGTCAGCCCCTCGCTGGGGTGGGGGGTGGTGGTGGCATTTAGTCAGCTCAGATCAGGGGTGTAAGGAAACCTGATGGCAGGTGCCATGAGCGGGAGCAGGAAGTGGTGAGTAGGATTCCTGTCCTGAGCAGAGGCGCTCCTGTGCTGAAAGTCAGAAATGGTCAGGGCACCCAACAGACGCTGTGTAGAGACCTACCTGTATACAAACCCCCCAATTACCAAAACCCAGCAGCAGGGGCATGAAGAGTTAGAACAGGCTGAGAGCACAGGTGGGCCATCTAGAGGGCTGGTTCTATCCTCAGAGACGGACAAGGTGCCCCAGAGGAAGAGCTGTTCCTACTAACCCCAACTTTTACCCTGAGACCACCCTGGCCCTCAACTCTGAGGTCTAACATGCCCAAAAACACTGACAGGAGGGGAGAAAATGATGTCAATAAAACATTACAGGAGCAACCATTTTTACAGGGTATCTGCTGTGCCAGACTGCTCAAACCCTCATTCTCAGCACCTATGAAGTGGGGCTGTGCCCACAACTGAAAGAGGAGAAAACAGACTTCTGAAAAATCAATCAATTTTTTGAAGGTAACACAGATTGTGAGTCACTCTTGAACCTGGATCTTTTGAGTCCAGAGTCTGGCTTTGAAGTCCCAGCTACTGTGCTTTGCTGCATGAAAGCAGCAAGAGGCTGATGAGCCAGGGAGCCAGTTACACAGGATCCTGTTTATTTCTCTGTTGTCATCTGGGATCTACACTAAGGTCTTAACTGAATGTTCCTCCTAGTGTTTGATGGGCTGAGGGATTTATGGGATGGTCCTCATTCTATTCTAGGGTCAGGATGTTAAGGGGAAGTCAAATAGTAATTGAGGGCCCCCAGAGGAGTTTCTCAGGAAGAAAGGTAAAGCTTGGGCTTGCTCCCCCACTTCACGTGAAGTGGCCAGTCTTGGAGACTAGGGCTTGGCTTCACAGTGGGGTCCCCACATTGTGGGGCTGGCCTGGAAAGAGGGAAGGGGGAGCTGATTGTCCCCCAGGTGGGGCTCTGCTGAGATCTCCAAAATCCAGACTGGCAATGGATGAGTCCACAGGAGGGAATGACCGAAAGTGGATGTGTGTGGTGGTCGGTGGTGTTGAAGGAGCTGGAGCTGGAGATGAGGAGGCTGGACAGGTCAGGATGGGGATGGGGGAGGTGACGGACTGGACGGGATGGAGTGGTGGTGACGGCGGTGGCGAGGTGTGGTGTGGCGTGGCGTGGCGAGATGCACGGACAGCATTCTTACCTCTGATTGGTGAACCACCTGGCGAGGTAATTTGAATGCAAATAAGATCAGAGAGAAGCATTAGTACAAAAGGAAAGAAAGCCACAAAAAGCCAAATCAGATAAACTAAAACATGGAGAAAGGGTCTTAAATACATGGAGAAACTGAGGCCTGGGTTAGGCCGACACAGGCTATGTGTGAGCAAGCACCAGACTGAGCCCGGCTGAGTGAGGCTGTGACTCCCAGGTCACGGGCACTGCTCCAAGGAGGGGGAGGGGAGGCAGGGGTCAGCAGGGCTAGAGGGACCAGGAAGGTGAGTCAAAGCTCCTGCAGACCCTGCCGGCTGAAGCCAATGGAGGGGAATGTGAAGAAAGAGAGTAGCCCCACCTTGGAGGGCCACACAAATTCCACAGGTGCTTAAGATTTCAAAGCAAAGCACTTACCAAAACAAACCAGGGCATGTAAGCAGACAGAAGAAAGACTAGAGGGAGAAGTGCTTGTCACAGGCTGCCGCCAGATCAGGTCTCCTGACAAATACCCTAGCCCAGTGCCACTGTGGATTTGGGGTGAACTCAAAACCCAATGGCAGATGGTGGAGGAACCCCCCTCATTCCTGCTAAAACCAAGTTGACTGCTGAGCTGCCCCCCAACCTGAATGGGAGAGTCAGAGGCCAGTGCCCACCCCTTGCCCATTCAGTGCTTTGTAACCTTGGGTCTCTGCAGCCCAGAGGGAGGGTTTAAAGAGGCTCCCTTCCCAACAGGTGCCTCCTCTGAACTTGTGCCCATGTCCCCTCTCCTACCACAGCCTTATCCAGAGGAGTGAGGGCCTGTGGACAGGTCCAGTCCAGAGCTAGACACCCTGTCCCTCTCTTGCCCACTTCTGGGGAGTGGAGGAGTATGTCAAGAGACAAACATCAATTGCTATCTGACTGAAAGTGAAGACGCCTGCTGGGAGGAAATACCCATCTCCACATGTGGATGAGCACACAGGAGCTGAGGAACATTGAGTGAGTTGTCCAAAGTCCAAGGACACGTAACTTGGGAGGTGGCAGGCACTAACCAGGTCTGTCTGTATCACAGCCTTTCCATGGGATGGGCTGCCTCCCGCACACCCAGAGACTGGAATGCCAAAGGCAGCTGTCAGGACATGGGCTGTGTGTGAGGCGCAGGCTGCTGGGAAGAATCATCACCGTCCAGGCAAGGTCCCTGAGACCCTTTCATCATGAGGTCAAAATCATGTTCATAAAACTAAGAAATAACTTGCCTTTCTCACTCTCACTCCCTCATGAACATTCAGTGGAGTTTTCCAGAGGCTCCATGATATGTGACATTGCAATAAACGCAACACAGAAGCAGCTATGAGAATCCAGCTGTCTTCTATTAAGCCCCAAATTAAAGAGATTTGTAAAAGTATGAAACAATGCTGCTCTTCTCACTGTTTTAGAAAATAAAATCATTTTTCATTAAAAATATTATTTATGCTTACTTGTAATGGGCTTTAAAAATAATTTTAAAGTGGATTAATAAAATATTTAAATTATTCCATCTTAATAGCTAATATGGCAAATATTGATAGACAGACCCCACACAAACAAAAGCTCTAAGGCCCTCTGCTTACTACGAAAGGTCTTGAGACCAAAGTCAACACAGCTGGTCTATTCCACGTCTGGACGTGGCCTGGGAGGGGAGGCAGTGTAGATGGTCCGGGATGTCGAGCTCTGGCCTCAGTTCTTCCAAAACCTGACATGGACCTCTCAGGGGAGTAATACCCACCAAACTAAAAGAAGCATTTGCCTTTTTCATTTCACAAGTGTGGGAGGCTGAAGGGGGTTCTAGGAGTTGGCATTTTCATGCATCTGAGAGGTGCCAGTGAGCTCAGGCCAAAGGGACATCATGACCACACCCTGCCAGGATGCCCTCTGGGCCCGCCCAGCCGATGGTGGGGCAGAGAGCAGGGGACAGACTGACTTTTCCACTCTGGGCTAGGGCCGCCCGCAGTGTGGGAGACTGTACATCCTTCGGCTTGCCCTGGAGACTTGCTGCATTCCCCTCTGGTTCTGTTCACAGGGTTCAGTGCATCCCTCCAGCAGCCAGATGCTGCATCTCTTCTTGAGGCCCCGCAGTCTCAGTTCAGGTGTCTTGGGTTGTGGAAGGAGACCATGTTCTGGAGTGGAGGGGGCGTGGACATGGCAAATTAGGTTGTCCTCTGTGTTGAAGGCGATGGCGGTGCGAATGCTTGGGCACTGGATGAGCCAAGCACAGGAGGTCTCTGCAGGCACCTGTCCAGGCTTGGCAAAGCTTACAGCTCAGCAGCTCTTCTCAGGATCTTGCAGGGGGCTCTGAGCCCCACTTGGAGTCGGTTCCCACTTGCTCCAGCAACAGTGGTTGCCTCTGACTTGATTTCCACTCTCCCTGAGCTTCCCCATTCTAGGTCTCAAGTTCAAGTTCCCCAACAGACTCTTGAAGTTGTGGCAGCCAGCCTCGTCATTTTGGTGAGGAAGTGCCTGTTGAGCAGGGCTCCTGGGCCCTGGTTGCATGTGCCATGGCTTGGCCTGCAGATGCTTGAGGAGGCTGTATACTTGTCAGGGAGGGGCTGAGGTCTGGAAAGGATGGAACTGTGGGCCCCAGCAGGGTCCAGCCATTCCCCAGCCCCCAGTTTCGCATATATAATACCAGAAGGCCCCAGGGTGACCTCACAGGGGAACTCCCAGGTCCTGGATCTCCAGGTGTGACCCCCTTAACTCAGATGTAAAGTGGGCACGATAATCACAGCCTGTCCTACTTCATTGGGTTGTAGCAGAATCAACTGCAATAAAAGGCAGGAAAGCACTTTGTAAAATGTCAGTGATGTGTAAACTGATGATCCTGTAAACAGCCAAGTGCTTGGGGTCTACTCCACTCTATGAAGGCATGGCCCTTAAAATGTGAATGAATGGCCCAGCATCCTTCTAAAGGGTAGCAGGGGAGAGGCAGCAGTTACTGTGGTCAAGCCCAGGGGCCAGGGTCACGCAAGATGGGGGAGAAAGTCCGTCTGTTATTGCAGAGGTGGGCTATTGAGGACCCTAAGGTGCCATCTGGATCACACTTCCAGGCGGCAGCAGAGGTCAAACAAGGAAGTTTTCCTTGGACCCGGGAAGCAGGAACTGTACAGGACAAGTCAAAGATCACAGTCACGATGAGGGCTCAAGATACCTGCCCTATACCTGCCCTATAGCTGGGCTTGTGCTGGGCACCGGTAGGAGTGCTGCAAAGGGGAGCTGGAGGCAGGCCCGACCTACAAAGAGTGCCCAGCTTAACTGAGCACAAGTGGAGCTGACAATGACAACATAAAGCTGTCTAACGAGTAAGCCTCAGGCCTGGTGACCATAAGCAGAGGACCAGGATAGCATCAGGGTGGCTCAGTGCAAGTGGGGGAAAGGCAGGAGGTAAGAAGGACCTTGTTCAAGGCACCCTTCCCAATGCCAGACAGGAAACTAAAGCTCTGACACCTCACAGTAACTCCTTTTCAAAGACAAGAAAACCAAAGCGCAAAAGTTAAATAACTTAACAAAGGCCACAGAGCCATTGAGTGGTGTAGCTGAACCTGATGAGATAAAGGTGGCGCAGGGACCTGTGTGCCCTGTTCAGGAGCATGCACTTGACCATGGAGACAATGAGATGCCACTGAGGTTTGCAGAGCCTGAGGAATATGAGGAAGAAACTCTGCCAGGGCTGGAGGATGGATTCAAAGGAGAACCTGTAGTGAGGGAGGGCTGTGCTTGGTGACCTGGGATTACAGCCTCAGCAGGTGACAAATCAGGAGGATCTGGTGGTTCCCTATTGCAGAAGGAGTTGGGTATGTCCCAGGTTTCAGGAAGGGGGACTGTCACTCACAGAGAGAGGATCAAAGCAGATGGGCACGGCTGCCTATGATGGTCAGGATACAAGAAAATTTTTTAGTCTAGAGCTAGGTAAGGTGTGTGGGTTGGAGAGATGGAACTGGGAGTTGCAGGTGTGGCGTGGATACCTGAAACTAAGAGAGGGTGAGCTGGCCAAGGAAAGGCTCCACGTATGGATGAGGGCAGGGCTCACAGTTTCCTGCAGGGAAGTCAGGGAGCAGTGGGAAAGAGTGTGTGATCGAGAAGGTGGGAGGGTGTTGACTGCTGCTCGGAGTACAAAGAGGCTGAACAGCCTTTAGTGGAGTGACGGGCAGGGGCAGATATACAGGGCATTGAATGGGTGGCACGGGGCCCGGCACACGGCAAGTCCCACATGAATACTTGATGAGCGAGTGCGCGAGACAGCGTGCCTTCCCAGAACTGCTGCCACGAACAGTAATGCCATCCCAGGGCGGAGGTCAGGCCTGCGGGGAAGGCCATCTGGCTGCTTGGGGAGTCTGCCTGGGGGATTGTGGGGAAACTCAGAGGAGCCGAGCTATGCTGACTGCTGTGCCGCGCTGGGCAGCGGCCACCAATGCTGCCGGACCGTTTCCTGCCTTGATTATGGCTGTTTTAATTAACTGCGCTACAGCTGCCTCCATCTTGTTGAGTTTTAATTAAATTAAATGAGCTAACACTTCGTAGGCTGTCTCAGGCGGCCGTGGCTGGGGCCAGAATCCTGCCCCTGCTGAGAGGCTCATCTCTCCCTCCTCCCCTGGGCACCACAGGGGCAACTACCTGGAGGGTGTTGTGGGGAGAGGCTGGCGCCCCAGGGAGGGGCAGGGGTTCTTCTGAAGCCTGCAGGGGCCTAAGCGAGGCGGAGTCCAGTCCTCCTTTGGGGTTGACAACACAGCTGGTGGGCAGCTGGGTCAGCAGGGGTCCGGCCAGTGTAGTCTGTCCCAGCCCACCATCCCACAGCTAGCAGGAGGGCTTTTGGACCAGTCTGTAGGTCCAACCTGTGCTGGTGGCAGATGCAGAATGCAGTCAAACGGACTCCAAGCCTCCTTTCCTGCCTGCACCATTTCCACAAAACGGAATCAATTATCTTGGCGGGAGTCTCGCAGGCAGATCGATCAACGGGGCGACACATCCCGCCTGGTCACGACAGCATCCTTGCTCCTGGGGCTCCGAGCTGGCTTGACTGAGATATCCAAAGGAGACAGGTGGCTCTGACGGCCGAGGGACAGCAGCACGTCCCCCAGTTCCAAGCCCCAGAGGCCCAGTCTTTTGAAGTCTGATGAATCAGGCATCTTTGGCCTGTTTTCACTAGCCAAGCCCTGCTGTCTGGAGGAGCAAAGAGAAGTGGCACCCAGGCCTCCTCTTGGGCCAGGCTACAGGGAAGGTGGAGGGTGAATGCCCACAGAGCACTGTGGCCAGCCCAATACCACGCTGGGCACCACACTCATACAAGAAGCAGGGCTGGATTGTGACAATTCAGGAAGGTGAAAGACTCGTGGATGACTAGCCCTTGCTGCCAAGCTCTCCTTCTGGATCATGTGGGCTGGTGGCGCCACTGGGTGCCCTCTGTTCAGCCCTGGCAGGTGGGCCCCAGGCTGAGGCCTCATGTGGTTCCCAAGCACCCGGGCCCAAGAGGGCAGGCCGAGCCGGGTTCTGGTAGACACCTTTCCTGAAGTCCGAGCAGTCCCTTCACCCTTGCCCTCTGCTCACCTGAACGCAGCTGCTTGATGCGGCCGTTGCTTGTGGCAGGATCCACTGGGAGAAAATCCTTGAACCAAGAGATCTCGGGGTCCGGATTCCCACCTGCGGCACACAGCATAGTGGCTGTGCGTGCCTTCTCCACCACTTTCAGCTGAGGCCCCATGTCGATGGAGGGGAACCCGGGGGGCAACTGTTCCTCTGTAGATAAAGAGCAGATGGACACTTTAGGGATGGCACTGTCAGCCCACTAGTACCCCCTCATGGGAGCTTCCCCAGACCCCCAGGTTGGGTGGGACCATCAAGACTCTTCTTCCTGATCCCTGACATCTACCTAAGCATGACGCCTGTCCCCATCTGAGGAACTGAGTACCACTGCCTGGGTTTGCCATTTTGCAGGGCTAGGGGTCTGCAGGGGACCCACCCTGCCCTGTTAGGCATTTCCAGGTCTGCGAAGCAATGCCTCAGACTTGAAGATGTCAGCATTATCTCTGGGTCCTGAGAAAAAAAGAGGATGGATGCTCTGCTGGCTGCAGCAGAAAATGCTAAATGGACACTGGGCTGTGGGGTCCCACAGCTCACATGGCAGCATCAACAGCCACGACTCTGCCTGGAGGCTTCCATGCTATCTGGCCCCTTTTCCTTGTCTGGGCTGTGGCATCCATCCACTGAGTGCATCAGCCTTCCGCTCCACTGCATGGCACACCCCATGTCTTGGGTTACCCCTCTTCTACCGTTGACCCACCTTGACCCCCTGTCCTGACCCTGACCCATTCTCTACTGCAGCCTTGACCCTGACTCTCCTTCTTCCCTCAGTCCTGGCCCTATGAGAACACTCAGGCCTGGGGACCATGTCTGAGAATGTGGAGGCTAAGAAGATAAAAAAAGCTCATGAGGACACCTAAGTTGATGAGCGGAGGTAAAACTCCTCCCTGGCAGTCTTCTTCCAGCTTGCCAGCAGTTGGCAGCTCACGGAGGAGTCACTTCCACAGGAGCAAGCGAAACAGACATCAGCAGCACACCCCCACTCCTACTGCACATGGACTCCTGAGTCAGCCCTGCGGGGCTGGGGTCTGGGGCAAGGCCTACTCCTCACCCTTGGAAGCACGAGGGGCTGGACTAGCACAGGCCAAGCAGGGCCCCTACCTTCAGCACTAACTAGCTCTGTGGGTGCGGTACTAATCCTCTCCATGTCTCCCTTGTTATCTGTAAACAGGGTTCAAGTGTCCACCCTGTAAAGCCATTATGAGAACCACATCTGATAATGCACGTAGGTGCAGGAGAGCACCTGACAAAGAATCAACACCCAGTGAAAATGAGCTGAGGTTATTAAGACTAGCAAGGGCTGTACCACTGGGGCAGACAGGTACCATACTGACAATGTGTATGAGCACCTGGCAGAGCCTCTCCACCAGTGTGGATGCCAGACCCGACCCCTGGTGACGGGAACAGTCCTCTGGAAGGAGAGCGGACCTCCATGGTGGGGGAGACCAGGAGTCTCCCTCCTGAAAGCCCAGCACAAACAGGCATGTGGGAACATTTGCTGAAATCAGGCTCCTGTGCCAGGGAAAGACAAATAGCTCCTCAGAAGGGAAGAACATATAAGCTGGCAGGACTGGTCTTCTCTCGAAACACCCAGAGATGCAGGGGGACTGACTGGGGGCGGGGGTAGACAAGAGAGGAAGTTGAACGGAGCCCTAAAAGGAAGGACCAGACATCCCTCTGTTGCCTGATCGCGGGGAAGGCTCTGACAAGGCCCCAGCTGCCAGGGACACCCCAAAGGGACAGTGGCTCCATCGAGACAGGGGGTCTTGGACTAGGGAGCGGCAAGATTGCCAGCTCAGTCTCACCTGCCCAGGCTTTCCTGGTAGCTGGCAGTACATCCCTCTACCTTCATCCCTATAAATTCTGGACATGAACACAGCATCTCCTTGGCTGTAAATATGATTCCACAGTACCCTGACTTTCAGCTCTGATTTTTAAAAGGGAAAATGTGTAATCACCAGAAAGAAAAGGGAGGATGGAAATGAAGCATGACTTGGGATGCACCGCGCAGGGAGAAACTTCCTTTGGCCTTGCTGCCTCTTGCCTTCACAGGATGGCCAGGTAGGGCCTGACACCCAGGTTCCCCTCTGGCCTCCCCAGCAGCTGGGGGGTGGCACTCAGGGCTGCTGGAGTTATCCCAGTCCACCACAGCACCAGTCTAGTTCTTCCTATACCTCAGTCCTACCTGCTCAGCTCCCCTGACCAAGGGCGGGGGGAGGAAGAGAAGAACCTGGCAGATAAGGGTACAGGAGTCAACTGGCCCCCATCTCCAGCAGCAAGGTACTGATCAAGGAGAAGGGGAGGAGTACAAACATTTGCAGCCCCATGTCCCGAGAATCTATTCTGAATTCCTAACACGGGGAAGGTCTTTGGGATTTATGCCAAATTAAGGACAATTAATTTTCCTCCCTCAATTATCAGGCCCTCAGTGGCTCCGTCCTTGGCTCAGATCATCCCTCAGGCACTGCTGCCAGAGCCTCAAACTGGCATGTGTGAAGAGCTGTCCATAAAACAGCGGGACCCAAAAGCCAGTCCCTCGTGCCAAGTAGGTTTCTAGGCAGAGTGGGGAAGGCTGTATTTCTGCTCCTCTCGGAGGGGAAGTGTGTCTCACAGGAGGGCTCCAGACCCTCAAGAGTGACCTGCTGCTGTCTCTTCCTTCTACACTCACTCCAGGGCCTTCAGCACATTCAAAATTAGCCAAGGACAGCAGACTTCTTGGAAGCCCGCCGCGAGTCTGGCCAGGCCGAGCACTGGGCATGCTGGTGCAGTGACCTAAGGTGCCCACTGAAATGGCACAAGCATCCCCTTCACTGACCGATACACAGAGGAGCTGGGTCGGACGGGGTCTGACCACTCAGGCTAAACAAGGCCAAGGCAAACTCCTTAGGCTGACGTCACATGATCATGCCAAACTCCTCAACAATGGGAGAAAGTGAGGCATGGAAGTGAGGATAAAAGGTCATGTTCACAGAGCACTGCATAGACAGTCCGGATACTGCATAGAATACCTTACAAAATGATTTAATTTTCACCCAAACCCTCTGAGTCTATGAGCAAGGAGGTAGGGGGGCTTAGAAAACTCTAGAAATCTGCCCAAGGTCACACAGCTAAATGAGAGGTGGGGCTGGGATCATCAGGCGGTGATGGGAACCCATGCCAGGTGGGGTTAGTGGAGGTGAGGAAGGGCTGGTCCTGGGAAAGCCCCCCCACCATCCCAGAAAGGCGCACCCCAACACCACGCCCTCTGTCGGTTCGAGGGGGCTCAGCAGCTCCACCGCAGACCACCGCACACAAACCGCGGCGTTTTTATTTGCAGCAAAATGATCCCAATTGCCCCCCACACGTGCACACCCGCAGGCACGCACCCACGTCCCCGCATCGGAAGGTACCGGTCACGCCGTATTTCCCCTCAAAACCTATTCTGTGGGTGGAGGGGCCGCAGAGCGGGAGGGGAGCGGCCCCTCCCCCGGCGGGGGGCGGTAACCGTGGCAACGCGGTGAGGCGGGCGCCCGGCGGAAGGCTGCGCGTGGCCGAGTCCTCGCGGCGCGCAGCTGCCGGTGAAGCGCAGCCGCCCCTCCCACCCTGGCCTGGGTGGAGCCGCCGCACTCCCTCCCAGGACCCCAGTCCCCAACTCCTGGGAACCCTTTGTCCTAGGTTTCCTTTTCTCTCAACTGACAAGCATCTGGCATCCCCTGCCCCACTGCCACCCCCACCTCCCCCGGTGTCTCCAGCAGCACCGTCTGGGCAGATCCTACACCTGCCTAGCAGGCATCTGCAGTGTCTGTCTCCTGGGGATAGGTCTCTCCATCCTCTGCTAAGAGGTTCTCTGGGATGTATGGGGGCTTAAAGGACTTGGGGAGCCCAAGATTTTACAGCTGTTTGGTGGATCTGATCAGCACATACACCTAGGATGCACACATATCCCAGGGTCTGCCTGCGCGAAGTGTGCTGGCCTGTGGGGTGCCCACCAGCACTGCCCGCATACGAATGGCTCCTGCAGTGAACTGCATTTGCATACCTCAGTGGAGATACCTGACCCCTTCCCTACCTCCCTGCTGAGCAGAGGAAGATGACAGGTGTGTGTGTGGGGCGGGGGCAACAGCTTAGAAGCCGAAGGCTCAGAGAGGGTAGGAGCTTGGCTGAGGTCCCACAGCAGTGGAGGAGCGGTATCAGCTCAACCCCACAGCTCACTGGCTATTTTGGTGGCTTCCTGGAGGAGGGAGATGCAAGAGTAGGATACACTTGAGCATGGGGGGCAGGGAAAGCTCGCCAGAGAAGGGGAGGACTGTCTGAGTAAAGGTTGTGGGAGGAGAGGGGGCGACAGTAGGAAGGAATGTCTGCCTGGAGCTAATAAGGCAAATGGTGGGGTTCTAATAGATGAGGCTAGGGTCAGGGCAGACGGGGTCTGGGAGGACTGATTTAGGCTGGCTGCAATGATGGGGGAGGGAGGCTGCTGAGGTCCACTAAAAAAGCACACACAGGTCTCTTTGTCCAACTCAGCCTGGGATGCCTGAGGCGGAGTCTGGGCCACAGGGAGGGGGCTGCACCAGGGAAGTTGACAGATGGAGACGCCTTGCAGGGTCCTGGGGCAGGCAGCACCGGCTGTCAGTGCGACCTTCTCACCCATGTTTACCCAGCTTCATGGTGTTGCTGTGTGCACGCAGGCATACACTGGCACACACATACACAGACTCCCTGGGGTGGCGCCGTCTGTAGCCAACACCCCCTCCCCCCTAACCTGTGTGAGTGCTGGCCTGTCTCTGAACAGATACCTAGAAACATGCACAGCCAGGGAGCACAGAGATAAACATGGAGAAAGACAGGTGCAGAAATAGAAACCTACATGTGCGTGTGAGGGGCACCTGCAGTGACAGGCACCTGTGGAAACACACGCAGATCCAGAGGCAATGCACATGGACGTGGAAACACAGGTAGAGACCTGCATTCAGACACGCACGTATGCTGAGAAACATGCACCTGGGGGCACACACAGGAAACATGTAGGGACCCATGAAGGCTCCTTGGGGTGATGAGGCTGCCCGCCCCCAGCCCCACCGCTGCACACAACCAGGGCCTGTCACAGGCAGCTTCATCCTTAGCAGGGTCAGGTCTAAGACACCCCTACCCCCCACACTCTTCAGAGAGCCCAGCCCTCC